GGGACAAAATTGTTTGCAAGTGTAAAAGGGCGAAAATAACCCTGTATACAGTATATCTACAATTTCTTCAAAATTGTATAATTATTAAGAATAACTATACAGTGTCTAGATATTGAGCATTTGAACATATAATCCTCCATCGTGATCATGTTCTTCACCCTACAAATATAGTCCTGCTGGACACGTTATTACTGCTGACGTAAACATAGTTAATAACGAGGACCTTAAATCACTTATTAAAAGAGGGCCAAAGTTTAGAGAGCCCCGATCCTCCAACCCAACTGGCGTCATAATTTCATCAATATTATGAAATCAGTAGGAGCCAAATATGAAAAAGAAGACCTTGATACTTTGTCAGAATGGATTAAATTTATCAGATGGATGTTAAAATCGCGCATCAAACGATTGTGAGGCAATATCAAAACCACCTAGCCTTCTGCCTTCGACAATGCAGAAGTGAAAAAAAGAATTAGATAGATTACAAAATCAGTATGCATGTACTGTTCACCACTGACGAAGCAGGTTGCAAACATTGTTTTTAAGTTTCATTATTCGAATTGTATTTTAGAGGAAATAAGATTTAATTCTGCAAGTGGTAATCCAACTTATACCCAAAGCTCCTTTTCTAAGGAGGAAATACTTTAAAATCATATGTGAGTTTTAAATATTTTAATATTCCCAACAATCAAAATTAATTTGAATTACCATACCTATACTGGATTCCAAATCTCCATAAAAAATCCTTACAAACAAAGATACATAGCGTGTTCCAGTAAATGTTCTACCAAGTCTCTATCTTTACTCTTCACTAAAATATTTACGGCAGTGAAGGAGAAACGTCAGGAGTACTGTACAACAGTATATTCGAGAAGTGGTGTAAATCAGATGTGGATACTTAAAAGCCCCAAAGAAGTTTTAGAAAATTTGAAATCACAAAATTTGAACAAAATAAATAATATCAGAACGTACTTTTTAACACTTTATACAACCATTCCCCACGATAAATTAAAGTCCAGGCTTTTTGACATCATAGATAGCTGCTTTTTCAATAAAAAAAAAAACCTCGTAAATATACTAACCTTTTCATTGGTCATTCGAAAAATTATTCTGTTAAAAACATTCTGTTTGTACACACAAGTACTCTGTTGATATTAGAAAAATGCTTGAGTGTCTGATTGACAATATCTATGTAGTTTTTGGAGATCAGGTTTTCCATCAATCTGTTGGACTTTCCATTGTTACCAATTGCACCCCCTTAATAGCAGACCCATTTTTGTATTCATATAAAGCAGAATTCGTTCAAAAACTCGTATATAAGAAGAAAGCCCTGCTGTGGTCTTACTAGATATTTTACTAGAAAAAGACTTTAATGGTAACCCAACAACAAAGCTTTGTGATTAATGTGATGACTTCAATTTTTCAACCGTCAACTTCCCTTACATATGAAGCAATATACCCTTATCACCTGCATATGGGGTTTATGGCTCTCAGTTGATTCAATACGCAAGTACATGCTCTACGTATGAACAATTTCTAAAACGAGGCAAGCTATTGATAAACAAATTGATATAATAAGGATATCAACAGTCTTGTTTGAAGTCATTATTTCGCAAGTTTTATGGTCGATACAATGACCTTGTCAGCAAATACAATCTATCATTTTCTGACTGACGTTTTCATATAATTGCTAAGCCATTATTTACACACTGAATTGTCTATGGATTCTTCTGCTTTTCCCGATCATGACAAGGAGCACACGGCGGTTGTGACCGGTCGCTAGGGGATGTTCACTCCACCATGACACCTGATCCCATCTCTGTTGTTTTTGAAGGTCTGTGTTTGCTCTACTCTCGATTTGTATTGTTTAAATGGACTGTTCCTCATCTCCATATTTCATCTTCCAGATGTCTTTATTCTAGTCGTTAGCATGCTTTTACCAAATTCTTCCTATTCCATCCTAAAATTCCTCTGAGGTGCTTTAGATTAAAGCTGACTTGAACTCTTAAATAGGCATTTTTTTCATCCTTGTATGCCTTTTTATTCATTCCAAAACGCCTCTTTCCGCAATATTTCTTTGATTCCGTCAAATTTGTTTGGGAACCTGGCCTAAACCCCGATGCATTTGTAACACTTGAGTGATTTTCTAGCCTGGCTGTCGACATGTACACATCTCCGATAGCATAGTTTTGGGACACACCATGAACTGAGTAAATACACGTTTTAAACATAAAAATCCATCCAAAAAGTATAACTACTTAGAAGAAATAAATTTTGAATACTTTAGGTGCATGGCCGTAGGAACCGGGGGGGGGGGGGGGGGCGTGCCCCCCAATAATTTTGCCGATATATAGTATACTATAGAAAGCATAGCTACTATGCTCGTGCCCCCTCTATAAAAACTTCTGATGACCTTTTTTTTTTTTTTTGCTTGTCAAGGAATTTTTGGTAGTTGATAGTGCCCCCAACTGAAAATATATGGTTGTGCCTCCCTCCCCCCCCCCCCCCCCAAAAAAAACAAAAAAAAAAACTGAAATTGCTTCCTACGGGCCTGAGGTGCAATGTAGAGAAATCACAAATGGCACGTGCATGTTTTCATGCACATAAATATCACAACAATAAACAGGAGAGGGCTACTCAATGCATCTTTTCCAATTGCACTGTTATGTACACGTACTGTTAGAGCTATATGCATGATACACGGTATTTGCGCAAATTATGCATTCATGTACAATAAATTTAGTTGTTTATATATACATACATGCATGCCGAGAAAACGCGTCGAATGCTGTGGTAATATTAATCACATTTATCTGAAATACTGCTATCGTTACAGGGATGTGCACATGTCGAGAGAATTACAGCATATTTTACTTTAATTGAAATATGCATCACAGAAGTTTTAAATTCCATTTATAACTCACATATATAGTTACAATAAGACAAGGTATCTGAAAGAAATATGGAGGAATACGGCTATATGCAACAAGTCTTACATAGATGAAAATGTTGCGTTTCTAAGAGTTCATGTCGGCTTTAAGTTTCAATCGGGTTTGTTCCCGGATCGCGTTAATATAGAAAATATATTTCCTTTGAGAAACTTTCTTGTGCTCATCAAAAGATACTGAAAGATGTTAGTACAGCTGTAGCATATTTGCTTGTTTGGTATGCCATAACTCAGAAACCACAAGACAGTTTCTCATGCAAAATATGCTACTTGTCTTTTGTTGTCCTAGAACACCCCTAACTCACCCCCCCCCCCCCAAACATCTTGGGGCAAATAGAGAAAACCTGACCTTACTCATGCTTACAACTTTTAAATTAAAAGGTGAATGAAAAGTAATAACGTTTATCAAATCCAAAAAGAGGTTCTGTGAAAACTAAATTCATAACTTATATCTAATTGTATTTAGTCCAATATGCGTGCAAAAAGGGGGAATAACAAAGTTCTTCAAAATAAATTATAGATCAAGAATATAAAACCTTCATTAAAATGGCATAGTTTTTCATATCATATCCATATTGGCTACATTTTTCGCACATTTTAAAATGCGTGGCTGTTGCTCAAATTTTTACGAAATGTAATGAAGGTAACGAACAATCATCAAACTTATAAATGTAGTAAAGAATACAATTCGTGATCATGCAGGGCAAAAAACATGGACCACTGGAGACACCATCTCCTGTCAACCAGTCACACCAGCTGTATGTGAGGCCTCTGTACTGATCAGGTAAACGGACTAATCCGTGATCAAACTGGTATTATAAAAACAATGTCGTAACAAACGTAAGAAACATGTCAGTCAAAATACGACAAAAAAAATTAATTTTTACAAACAATGACATTGTGTCATTTTAAGGACAATACACACCAGAAGTCTCTGACGAGACTGAAGTTCTACTGATAGTACTTATGACACTTGAAGGAAGATAAAAGTAGCACATGGACTTGAAAGTTTGCAACAGCAATAAATAGAATAATGATCCTTTTTGTGGCAAGATTTATTGCAATCAGACTAAAACTGCAGGAGGAGTAGTCTTTTAAAACAATTTTACAGAAATTTCGATTTTAGTAACCATGGCAACAACATTCAACAAAATCAAAAAAACAATAAAGATAATTATGTATCTTAGTGTAGTCTACTTGTGTGCCAAGTTATACTGAAATTAGACCAAAACTGAAGGAGGAGTGGCATTTTGAAAATTTTTCAAGGAAATTCCTTTTTTAGTAACCAAGGCAACACCGTTCATCAAAATAGAAAACCGATACACAGAATTATGTATCTTAGTGTAGTCTACTTGTGTGCCAAATTATACTGAAATCAGACCAAAACTGTAGGAGGAGTAGCATTTTGAAAGTATTTCAAGGAAAATTCTATTCTAGTAACCATGGCAACACCGTTCATCGAAATCAAAAACGGATATATAAAATACATGGTTACTGTCTTGAAATATAAGCGATATTTGGGCGAGGGTAAGAAAACGTGATAGAGGGCGAGGCTTGCCGAGCCCTCTATCACGTCTTCGACCCGAGCCCAAATATCGCTTATATTTCAACACAGTATCGATGTATTTTGTTTATCCTGCAACATATTTTTACATGACCTTCGAAACGAGCTATTTTCAATCGATTTAGGTACATCTCTGCAGTTGAATCTAAGACGCCATGGCGTAAACATTGCAATATTCATGACGTCCCAATGCTTTTAGAACGTCGGAATACATGCACGAGGCTTTATTAGGGCATTGACCGAATAAATCTTTGGGTTATTAGGTTACCTTTTTTAGGTCAATGCAAGGGGTAGTTGCAGGATAAATAGAATTATGTATCTTAGTGTAGTCTACCTGTGTGCCAAGTTATACTGAAATCAGACCAAAGTTGTAGGAGTAGCATTTTGAAAGGATCTCCCAGAAATCTCTATTGGAACACCGTTGGCTGAAATATTGCCGACTCGGCGTTAAACAATATCAATCATTCAAATAATTTGGCAGAAACGTAAAAAGATTTTTTTTACATTTTATTCACGCTACTATGAAGTAACAAATAAATAAAAGCTGCTTCCCGGTCTCTACCGGCGACAGTTGGTGGTGTGTCTCCCTTCCTTATACATACAACTATCCCCGCGAATCTGAAAAAAGAAACGAGTAATAATTAATTTCATAAAAATGTAGTAAAGCATTTTGTAAACTTTCTTTGTAAAGCTTTACAGCAACGAGTAAGCATGCGCAGAAGACATTTTCGGAAATATATGAATTCAGGTGTGAGAAGAATTCAAGGCGTTGTTCAAATGTGTGATCATTGATGTCTTTCAATAATGAATATTCATAAAAGTTGCTCGTGTAATTGTATATATTCATAATATAAGTGCCAAAATAATGAACATTTTCCTGGGAGGGATTTTTTTTTTAAATATGTATATCAACCATATTTTCATATTGAATCCTGTTGTAAAGCATTTCAAAAATTACAGAAAAAATCATAATAATATGAAATATAATTAATATAATTATGTTTGGAAAAAAAAAATTCAATAAGAAAATTCTTATAAACTTCGACAAAAACTTAATTATGAAATCGTGTATTTTGAAAAGTTTTTGAAAAATATATTTAAAATCGAAAAATACAGAATGGCCATGCACCTTCCCTAATATTGATACCAGAATACATTTCTGTAAAGGTGTGTTGGTCTTACTCATACATTGGTAAAATGCAATAGAAAAATGACATTTCATTGAAGTAAAACGAGTCTTTCCTTGTTTTAACGAACATTTTAGCTCATTAACATTCATTTGATAACGCAAGAAATTTAACAAATAGAAGTTTCGATAAATTTACATCATGAATCGAGGGACTAAGTCAAAACCGGAAATGATGTAAAGCCGATACCAGTGGATAAAGCATAGGTCTATCTTATGGGTGTATACACCATACGAATGAGATAAAATGCAACACAAAACTGTCATAATATAAACTTTCATTACTGCATTCTTCTTATTCACATCAAATTGACAATTATATCAACTTGAAAATTAAATTGCAACGGCAAATTTTGGTCTAAGTCGTCTCTTATTTGTCTCTTTTGTAAAACATGGCCATGTATTGAAAACTGGATTGCAATAATTAATTTTAAAGAATAAAATAAATATTATCAATTTAAGCATTCAAGAATGATTTTCTTCAGTGTCTTTTAAAAGGTATGAAAGGGTCAATTGTAGGTTTTGACAAAATCAAGAGGTCTGTGAAAAATACTTTAAAGCTCTTCTTTTTTTCTTAAAAAATTTATCATAATAGTGCAGCACTTGCCATTATCGACGCTTTGCTATGTTGATTATGGAAGGGTCGCACACACAAAAGTAAGTTGCGGAACTTTCAAAATGTTCTATTTTAAACAGTTGATAGCCGAATAGTGTGAACATACGGATAATTAACATGTACATCGTTTGAGATTCCATAATCACCATGCGACCTGCATAGGGATAAAAGAAACATCTTGCAATACATGAAGTCTTTCAAAGCATTTTATGGTTGGCTAGCATGGTACTATTTTAAGAACAAGAACTCTAATTGAAATTATATATATATATATATATATATATATATATATATATATATATATATATATATATATATATATATATATATATATATATATATTAGGGATGTCAACGAGTACCCGGTTACTCGATAGAACGCCCGAGTATCGAATACTAAAATCGCTACTCGGTTACCCAGATGTATATTTTTTTCATATTTCATCAAAGTTCATATATTTATTAAAAACTTATCAAAAAATGTGATTTAAATCTTATGCATTGTCCCTGTCTATAAAGTAATTAGCATTACCTACGCCGAGTTAATACCCGTTTTCGCCTGTGGCTGTGTACATGTACATACAGTAATTACCGTGACCAATCACTGGACATCGTACACAGGTGTTCTCACCTCTTGCGACCCTAATTTTTGGATGGCTTTAATTATTTGTTTTCAATGAACACCATTTAATTATGATCTATTAATTATCCTTATATAGATTATTTCATTAGCATCGGGCATAAGTTATTAGAAATCGAATTAGAAATTAGAAATCAGACATAAATAGAAATACCGCTACCAATTCCAAAGTGAAAACTGTAAAGAATTAATTTTGTAATTATTAGTGTATTAATTGATCAATACATGTCTTTCGTGTTTGTTTGATTCATAAATCAAGTACCCAAAAATTCATTTTCGTTGGGCTCGATGTTTATGTACATGCATTGTAAACGAAAGTAAACATCGATGGAGTAAACAAGTCTCGATAAGATCAATAAACTTTTACATGTATACACACGTTTTCCGAGTACCCGGGTAATCGATCGGAAAATCGTCCGAGTAACCGATTATCAAATATTGACCGATTTGACATCCCTAATATATATATATATATATATATATATATATATATATATATATATATATATATATATATATATATATATATATATATATATATATATATATATATTTGCGTACCTGATAGTACCTGTTTCAATACGAACTTAGGGAACTATTTCGGTTCAAGTATTTTTTATATGATAAAAATAAAATTTAAATAATTTTGAATTTTATAATTTTGAAATTTGTGATTGCAATTCTCATTTCTTTTCTTTTTTTTCTATTTTTTATTTATTCATTGATTATTTATCTTTTAAAGAATCCAGCAAACATTATGTAAAGAAAACAATGTTTTAGTTTGAACTCTAGTCGAGAAAATACAAAAGAAGACTTATCTTAAGTGACACAGTACACAAAATAAAATCATTCATTTAAAATGAATTATTAATAATGACATTATACGTATACAAAGAAAACATAATTGTCTGAACTGCATGTGCACATTATTACCACGGCATTTAGTGCATCACTGTGGAGTTAGAGTTTTCAGTTTCTCACCATACATTATCAGATAAATTGATGTTCAAAGCACTTACAGACAGCTGCACTTATTTGTTTCTGGAGCAACTCTGAGGTCAAGTAAAAGTTCAAAACCTCTCACTTCTTTAATCGGAATTTAAGTTAATGAAATAAATGGAAAAAAAATACAGATCTTGTGAATAATGTTACATGGATAAACAAATAAAATATCATGTTTCTAAGATATACGTGTATGTCTTAAAGAATAAACTGGAAACGTTTTTGATTATATGATTTCATATTCAAATAAATGAATAAGAAAAACAATTTTTAAAAATATATTGTACTGAAGATATGATAAGTATGTGAACAGATTTATACTAGTACAGTACCAATATAATGGTCAACTTCAAAAGCGGACGGTTATATTTGCCAATTTCCTCTGAATATCAATTTAAGACACTTTTACTAGTTTTCGTTTGTGTTGATGATGACAGATTTAGTTTCCAACACAAGCTATAAATTATTTATTTAAACTCTCTTCGTGAGGTCAGATCTTTTTCAGCTATTTGTGAAATAATTTTGAGCCATATCTTTGGACCTATTTCTTATATCTTTGGAATTCTTTTATTTTAATTCCATATTAAAACATATAAAAATTTACGTTTTAAGAACTATACACAAAATTAATTATTTTTGCATAGCGAGAAGAATTCTCTTGGGAGACTGCATGGACAAATAAAATATTTACAATGAAGCCTTCATCAAAATATAGCTTATTATTTTGGCATCACTTAATGACTCACAATCATCTGGAGAATCTAATTAGTCTCTGATTACAAAACGTGGAGGTCGATCGTCTCACTGCCCCTCTTACTCTCATAGCCATATGCGACTTTCGAAAATTCATTCCCTATTAATTGACCTAGTGTAATCCATTTTGCGTAAACATGTATATGAAAAATATTATGTTCAACGAAACAAAGACTTATTAGTCCACCTTCATTACTGAGATCAAAAACTTAAAAAGCTCGAGCATTACCCCCCCCCCCCAAATTTACAAACATATGCAGTGATTTCAATTCAAAATAATATTTAGTTTTAGTTAGATACAGGTACATACGAACACATACTCGAAAAATAAAAGTTGCACTTTTTTTGATAAACGAGAAAGATATCCTTGTATGAGAATTTCGCAAGAAAATATTTTAAATATTCTAAGTTGAATTAGCTTTATGGTAGAAATTCTAACATGCAGTTTTGATATAAATAAAAGTTTCTCACATAGAATTAATCTTACGGGAGGAGCACATTACAGCATTTTTTTTTACCTGGATTTCAAGTGTGAATTACCGCTTCATTTTATGAAAAAAATACCTGCAAGGTATAAGGGGTTCAATGTACGCATGGCACTAAACGGTAGTTCTATTTCATATGATTCACTCAAAATGTAGTCGAAGTACAATTACATGTAAATGTGAGTTCTTTTCAATATCATTCATTCTGCCTGTGGTCGAAAGTAATTACATGCATACAGAATAAGTTGAACATTGCTTGTTACAAATCTCAGCAATGCGGATTTAATATTTCCTATAAATAAAACTTTTTAGAAAATTTAATTAAGCTGCATTACGCGTAGTTGTCAAGGTAAAAAAAAAAATAAAAAAGCCGCTCCAATATATGTTGTACTTCGAACTTGTGCATGAATGAGGCGCTAACGGAAGAGGCATTTTACATAGTGGTAATGTACGTAAACATGTACATATAAAATAATGTAATGGTATTGTGTACTATTTTGTAGCGGTTTTGAATATGCAAAGGTATTGCCAATTATGAAAATAAAGCGGTAATGTTATGCATCTATTTTAACGAACCTGTGTGCGACAATTTACAAGTGCACTTCATACAAGAGCAATTTTAATCTCCATTTGAATCCTAGATTGCTGGAAATGCATGAATCCAGACTCCCCCCCCCCCCCTTTTTGATGCATTAGAATTAGATTAGATATATTACTGAGAATGGTGATGTCAAACAAATAAACAGTATCCGCATTATTTAAGAGATTGGTATTTTGATTTTTTGAACAATTAAATATTTGAGAGGAATATATATCAATAAGCTGATAACATTCATAAACAAAAGAACCAATGAAAATCTGTAGGTGAAATTCCTAAAATACACTCATAAAATTAAAATGTATTTCACAAAGAAGAAACTAAACGATGAAAAAAGTGTAATAAATTCATAAGGCATGCGGAAAGAAATCCTATTGGAAACAAAATATATGCAACTAATTAAATAGAAAATGTGAACAATGAATGAAAATAAAATTTAATGTTACCTCCAAAAATCACGTGATGCCTTACCGGTCTCGTTTTGGAGGCGCTCAGGCAAAATGTGCAGACAGGTTTGGGTAGATTATCTACCCCGCCTCTGATCATGGCCTGATGTTTGATACAAGGTTGATCAACACAGTCTGACCCTACCATCAGCACCGTATTTAGGTGAGCTATGTAGCTCGTGGCTAGTCTCAAAGTTTCAATTTTTGACAATTTCCGGTCAGCAGGTTCGGTAGGAATAAGCGTCCGAAGCGTCACAAATGCCGTATTGACGCTATGCGTTCGGTCCCTTTCACGAGCGTTGGCAGCCATCCGCTGCTTTGGGACGGGAGTTCCGTCAAAGTTAAAGTTACACGTTTTGTCGTCTCCGTCAGAATAATTCCGTGATTTTCTTTTCCGAATTCCAGAAGTTTGGTTGTCCTCAGTTGAACCACAGCTATCGTTTTCGTCTGAAAGATGTAGATCCTCTCCGCTTGGCCCTCGTCGCATTGCGTCACTATGACGTTGCGTTCATTTACCTCATATTAAGCCACGGCGTCAAAAATATATCAAAATAATTTCAAGTTTCATCAAATCCGATATGATGAAAATTCTCTTCAATGTTTTAAGATCTTAGAACTTGCATTGAAGCCACAACAAGAATGGAATTACATATGGATATGCAATTTCACGCCATGTACATCCCAAATATGCTTTAATGTAGCGATAAACCCCGAAACCTTCCGTAATATCCAACAGCTAAGCGGCTTCAAGCTGGTATTATTTCGATCTGCAAAAGCCATCACGAAGGGTAATTATACCGGCCTTTTTTTCTGTCTGTCGAGTAAAGGTCGCATTTAATAGGAGGAGCACTCAGAGATTATGATGCTTCAAATGTCGTCGTCAAGACAACAGGATGGCGTGAATAAAATGACGACGTTACAATTACAAAATGTTTAGATTTTTTTTCAACGTTTATTCAGCGGCCCCAAAATGGCTGAAATATATATTTTTGCAGTTAATATTTCTATAAATCTTTAAAATGATTATGTCGCGGCGGTGGGGGTCGGGATGGAGAGCCTTAGAATGCAAGAACTGCTTGAAGCTTGTGTTTTCGACAAAATAATGGCGATTACATTTGTATTCAGTTGTTTTTCCTGATGTTGTTATCAAATTAAAGCTTGATTTCGATTTTAAATTAAAATCAAAGTTGTTTTCCAAAAGACGTCGTTCAGTGCATTAAATGCGAGAAGAAATTTACGTGCAAGTTTTGCAAATGAAGAGCGCATTCCCTGCAGTAGTAACAGGCTTGCGGATCATCAGAACACAAACGACAACATGCATGTTCCCCAATTTTTCAAAACAAATAGAAACTTCCCCCTATAATGATGCGTTGATGATTGGCGGAGCAGTCAGGAGAAGTGACCGTAAAATGAGATCTGCCACCGGTCAGAGAACTCTCTAGGGGCGGATCAAAGCTCAGTGCTCTACAAATAACTGGCGCTAAACAAACTTTGGCTGAAGTATCGTCTTCTGAACTACGATGTAGTATCAGTATTCACGTGCACCCCCCTCCTCCCTTCCTCGGGAACTCGCTAAACATTGTATTTTACACCTTTTCCCATTTTAAAGAATACATGTATATAATTTATCGATTTTAATGTATATGAAAATCTGGTGGATTTACAGAAAATTATTATACAAGCAAAACCCTCGAATTTAACTGGCCTATCAAAATTAATACGAATCGAGATTCAGATTTAAAGAGAGTGTATATCAAAATTGAGAAAATGTGGCTCATAATAACAGTGAATAAGTATCCCTGAAATTATAACAATAGTTATATTTTTTTCAATAATATATACAATATTCATAAATGAATAAATGTTTATGTACAGTTTGAAGGTTTGGAAAGAACACTTTGGTTCGATTTTTTTTTCCATTTATAAACCGATACAGATAGCCATTTCGGACTCTTAATTTAAGACCAAAGGATTCAAGTCGGTGGTTTCTGTTTTCATCTAAATATTTGTAGCAAACAATTCCAAATCTAGCAAAAAAAAATCTGTTACAGTACGTGAAATGCAGTTCCGTATTAACGATATTCAGCTTGCGTGACGCTTTGATTCGAGCTTATGATATTGGATTTTGAGGACATTTGCTCTGTAGTTGGTTAATATATTGCCCCCCTCCCCTCCCTCCCTAAGAATTTAGGATAAGGAGGTATTGTATTGTCAAGTGTTGAACAATGCATTATTTCATGAAAAAGTTCTTGAAAGGCAAATCAACATTTTTTTTTTTTTACTATAGTGCGATTTTTTGAACGATGCACATAATTTACGATGCTTATCAAGGAACAAAATTGGTTTAATATTTTTCTCAACCAAAAAGAGTGCTTTATAATTTATTTTTTCAGATGAATGCGCGTTTTTGTCATATGCATATATACATGCACCCGTCTTGTAGCGTGTTATATCTTTCATTTATAGGTATGATACATTGAGGATATTTAATAATTTGTAGTTGGAGACAGTATATGATAAATTACAGTAATTCACTTCATAAAATTTAATAAATATAGATTATGCCAAGTTCAATATACAATGTATGAACTTCAGTAATTCGACATCCCTTCGCAATCCAGGCAGTATATAATTACATATGTATATAAATGACTTTTTTTTTTAGAAACTCGCATATGTGTCAACGTTGGTAATCTTTTGTGACCTTACATGCTAATTATCATCAGTTGCAGATTTACATAACGTAGGTAAAAACGCATCGTCGGAAAGTGAAAACGCAGACTTTACTGCTAATGGCTAATATAGACAAGGTGAATACTGAAAAATAAATTCGTCTCCATTCATCTGAGTGAAGAATAAATGGATCTGAAAGTATTAGAATAGAAATATTGCAATAATAGGCATGCAGTGTCATTTCCAGAGCGGGGGGGGGGGGGCAAGAGAAAAGAATTGACAAGATACCTGAAAAAAACTTTGAAAAAGCAAAAAAAAAAAAAAAGTCCAAACTGGAGACTGGGGAACATTTTTTTTTTGGGGGGGGGGGGGGGGGAAGGGGGTTATGCTGATACTACGAGCCTGATTTTAAAAAAAGCAGATGTGTAGTGATTCATTACTTTTTATTGAAGCTCAACAAAACAGCACATTTATCATGATTGTATACTGTTATCATTATTATGTTATATAAATGTTACAGGTGCCATTCACTCTGAAGTGCTCCACATGGCCAAGTCATTCCAATCTCATTATCACTTCTTTAATTTACTAAGCAGCATTTCATTTCTTCGACATTCCTGGAAAATTTAAATTCAGTGTTAAAATACACCAATTTTCTTTAAAAATGTTTTCCTGGTAAAGAATTTTAATTTAAGGAAAAACAATAAAATGCAATAAAATGGAAATAAAAATGTTAATCAAGTGACTTTTTTTGTAAACACGCTTTAGCAGACTGGAAACTACTTTGACAATAAATTTTTTACTTCATAAATTGATTTTATGGAAATCTTATTTTAATATTGTCTAAATCTGACATTGGTATTCATGGTTGGAGAATTAGAAGTCTAAATCTGACATTGTTTTTCATGGTTGAGGCATAAGAAATCTAAATTTGACACTGTTACTCATGGCTGGGGCATTAGAAATCAAAATCTAACATTATTTTTTCATGGTTGGGGCTGTTGATTACCGAGACCTACCTCTTTGAAGTCCTTCACCGTCTTGAAGTAGAGTCGCTGTTTTTCTACGAGGTCTAAATATTGATCGTTCAGCTGGTCTCTCTTCATCTTCTCTTCTTGTTTACGTTTTTCAAGCTAAACAGAAACAAAGAAAATACCTACAATAATTATCAGTTTGTATATATAAAGAAAATGAGGAGTGAGAATTTAAAATGAAGAGTTCAGAAAACACTTGTAAGCTTAAGCTTGAGTGATTTATTTTGGAATGTGTGACTCTTCCCTTGTAGACCGACAAACAGGAGAACAGATAAAAAAGCAAAAAGTGATCTCTACAAAGTATCTACCATCTTCAGCTGTTGATATAACAATGATGAAGATCTGGCTAAATTATGTACATGTATTTAAAGATGTTTACATGATATACCAATTAGTAATGAACTTTATAGTGAAATAACTCCAACATGCAAAATCAATAAAAACAAGAGACCCATGTGCCACATCGCTCACCTGAGCACACTGGCTAGGAAAAAAGCACAAATCAGTTCAGTATTATAAAGTTTCAATGGGGGGGGGGGAGGGGGTCATCATTTGAACAAACTTCAATCTACACTACCTGGGGATGCTTCCATTTCAATATGACTAAATATGGCTATTCTGTTCCTGAAAAGATTTTTTCCTATATATTTCTATGTAAAAAATTTGATCCCCCATTGTGGCCCCACCCTTCCCCTGGGGGTTATGATTTGAACAAACTTGAATCTACACTACCTGAAGATGCTTCCATTTCAATATGACAAAACATAGCTTTGCTGTTCTTGAAAAAGATTTTAATTTTTTTTTCCTATATATTCCTATGTAAAACTTTTGATCCCCCATTGTGGCCCAGCCCTACCCCTGGGGTTCATGGTTTGAACAAATTGAATCTACACTACCTGAGAATGCTTCCACTGCAACAAGACTAATCATGGCTTTGCTGTTCTTGAGAAGAACATTTTTCAAGTTTTTTCCCTATATATTCCTATGTAAAAATTTGATCCCCCATTGTGGCCCACCCTAACCCAGGGGATCATGATACGAACAAAGTTGAATCTGCACTAACTGAAAATGCTTCCAAATCAATACGACTCATCATCACTTTGCTGTTCTTGAGAAGAAGTTTTTTCCCAGTACATTCCTATGTCAATTTTGATGTGACCCCACCCTACCCCCAGGGGGTCATGATTTGAACAAACTTGAATCTACACTACCTGAGGATGATTTCACATGAGTTTCATCATTCCTGGCCCAGTAGTTCTTGAGAAGAAGATTTTTAAAAGATGCTATTAATTTTTCACTAATTTGTAATTATCTCCCCTTGGAAGCGGGCATCGCCCTTCATTTGAACAAACTTGAATCCCCTACCCAAGGATACTTTGTGGCAAGTTTGGTTGAAATTAATTGGCCCAGTGGTTCTTGAGAAGAAGTTGAAAATGTGAAAAGTTTACAGACGGACAGACAGATAGACAGCTAGAGAGACGGACGCCGGACAAAATGTGATCAGAAAAGCTCACCTGAGCCTTCGGCTCAGGTGAGTTAATAAAAATCAAGTGTTAATGTTATAGAACTGGATCATAGTTAAAACTTTTGTTTTATAATTGTAAAATTTTGGACATCTGATAAATGAGCCAAATTTTTCCTATATTATATCTTCCAATATGGTTGGTACTTAGTTTAATAACTCAAAACTCTCAACAAACTTTAATATGTGACTGTTTTATAGGATAACTTTAACTTTTTAAACCTCAAAAAAAAAAAAAAAATTATAACCAACAATAGCAACTAAGTCAAGGTTTAAGAAGCAGAATCATTTGAGTATTTCTAACACAACGGACATCTATCTTACCACGGTATTTTTAGCAGAAAAAAAAAAAATAAGCTTACAGTACTACATTCTAAGAATAGATTAGATTCCTTGACCACTGACCTTTGCTTTATTTTGTTTGATCCCCTCCACAATGTTCTCAAACTGCTTCAGGAACTGCTCCCTGGATGCTGGGCTAGCCATGGCTCTAAAACAATAACACAATGATAAATACATCCCGACGTTGTGTCAGCTTTAGTCTTTTTATCTAAAACTTCTGTTCAAAAGTGATTAATCTATACCAGATTAAATATAAAGTCATTTTTTTTACTAATTCAATGATGGTTCTGATGTTGGATTTTATTCATATATTTTAACTAGAATCTCTTTCACTGTTTTAAGACTATAATTAGTGCAATGATTGATAACTGTCATATAACTTTGAGAATGATGTACTTTCTGTCGGAAGTTATCATGGATTGAGTTAAGTATTGGAAAGTCGGTACTTACTGTCAGAAGTTATCATGGATTGAGTTAAGTATTGGAAAGTCGGTACTTACTGTCGGAAGTTATCATGGATTGAGTTAAGTATTGGAAAGTTGGTACTTACTGTCGGAAGTTATCATGGATTGAGTTAAGTAGACTGATCTCCTTGTTCAGGTAGAGTTTAGTGTCATCAAGTGTGTTGTACAGAGTGTAGAACTGCTTTGTTTCTTTGTGGGTGGCAGAAACTAGAAGAGAACAAACATTTGCCATCAGTGTGAGAGGAGACCTTTGTTATCAAATTCAAATATTACTGACAGCTGAGATACTTTATAAGGGAAGTAACTCTCAAATCAATAATGTACCCAAATTTAATATACGGGTATGTACTATGTACACAGGAATGTATATTTCAAATCTTGAGTGCTAGAAAAAATAATAAATGCAGTAACTGTACAAAAAAAATCAATTCCCCTTTTCTTTTGTACTGATACTTTTTGCTAATTTCTTGTAATAAGGGGTAAATTTTGTCAACAACTTATTTGTTGGTGTTTATCCAGCTACATTATAAACACTCAATTTGATTTTCTAAATCTGTGAATTCTGGTACACTCCTGATAACGAAAACACCAAGCATCACATATAAATCGTATACAGCTCCTGTACTGAAAAAGTTCTGCTTGAGTTACCTATCCAGACCATACATTTCAATAAACCACCATTATTCTGCTTGATTATACAGTTCAATGAACTGCCCCTGATACTGACAAAGTTCTGCTTGAGTTACTTCCCTTGACTGATCATACAATTCAATGAACTGCACCTAATACGGAGAAAGTTCTGTTTGAGTTATCTACCTTGATCATACAGCTCAACAAATCGCCGCTGGTATTGACTTAATTCAGCTCTAGATGGCACTTCATCAATCTTTCTCTGGAGAACAGCAATTTCCCGCGTCTTCCTGGCCTTAGATAACAAAGTTTACATGCATCTTAGAAATTTTTCTTGATAAAAATTGATAAGTATACAAGTACACTGTAGCTTAAAACTGTATTTACATTTAAAAGATTACCAGTAGTCTAATAAAAACACTATTACATTTAAGACTGACAACTAATTTTATTTCATAAATTTAAATTAAAATAAGAGCAGCAGACATATTTCATTCTTAAGGATATAAGTCCATTTTTCCTTACCAGGAGCAGCCTAATCTTGTGGAGTTTTTCTCTGTCAGCTTCGTACTGCTTGTCAATCAAACTGGCTCGGGTCTGTCAAAATACAAAAATATGACTGATCTGATTTACCATAAATCATAGTTGCATGTATATCTAAGTAGGCAATTCACAATCTTCCAAGAAATTAAATTCTAAAATTCAAGGAAAATGGACGTTGCAAAGGAAGTATTTTCTTTCTCCTTTTTTTTTTTTTTAATTCAAATTTATAGGCTAATACTGTAAGTAACACATACTGTTTATATAAATTCATCAAACATTGGTGCAAATCAATGTTTAACAATCAATAATTGCTCTATATTCTCTGAAGGCTTATCAAAATATCTAATTCATCACATCATATATCAATTAGAAATTCTCATAACCGCCTCATTTCAGCACTGTTGAAGATGATGTACAGGATGGTTAAAATTAAATCCCAGAGCACACCCTGATACTATAGAGCCTTGGTCTTCCACATACATAGCAGTATCAGTTTCCTTCTTTCAAAGTTTGAACTTTTCAGTACAGTAGAACTTGGTTATATAGAACTCAGTGCTTGGGAAATCTCTGATCAGTTGAACTTCAGTATCTTAAACACTGATATCTCGAAATACCATGGATATGTCGAAGTGATTTGGAAGTCCCAACCCCTTATTCTTTAGGTATTTTACCCTGGATATCTCAAATTCATGGATATTTTGAAGTCTTTTCTTGGTCCCATGGAGTTCGAGATAACAAGGTTTGACTGTATAAGGAATTTCTTATGAATCCCATGGGTGATTTTTCACTATGTTCCTGATATGAATATAAAGAACCACCGTTATAAGGAAGTAAAATTTAAGGTCCTGGTGACTTCTTGATAACAAAGTTTTACTGTACTAAACTACTTCACTAACCTTGTCTTCAGAATCTTCCTCCTCAGTTCCTGCCTTCAGATCCTCAATCTGAGCCTTCAGTCTAGACATCTCTTCTTTACAATGAGCTTTAAAGTCCTGTTCTTGTTTCTTTAAGTTCTCATTCATAGCAACCAATGTCCGTAGAGTTTGTAAAACTCTACAAAAAATTAAAATTTATATTAGTTCATAGCCTTTCTTTAATGAAAAATTTCAGTTCATGTTTTTTTTAGTTTTGACCTAATATGGCATATTGAAATTTATTTTTAAAAAATCCTGTAAAGTAGATATTCATTTTTTTTTTCACGCACCAGGTACATATTGCTGTTTCAACAGCTAGTTACATCTCTATACAGTATAAAAACAAAACTGTATTCTTATCTACTAGATTCTATAACAAAAATCTCCAGTAATGATAAATGTCAGCTGTGTACTTCAGACTATACTCTGTCTTATTTCACAATGCCTGAATAAAGCCAACAATGGCCATACCCTTGATTTTCCTCTGTCTCTATCTCGGTCAGTTTCACCATCTCCTCACCGATTCTCTCACTCCGATTCCTCACCTGAGATAATAATCAAGCCAGAGAAAATGATAAATAAAATCTGATACATACATGTAGACGATGAATAGTTAAAGCAATGACTTACAAATGCTCCATTTTCTCCTATTTGAATTAGATTTTAACTACAGTTGAACTTCAGAATCTTGAACATTACATGTAATATGTGGTACACACATACATGTATGATATGTCAGAGTGACTTGGAAGTCCCAACCATTTTAAATGCATTTTAATCTCAATATCACGAATCCTCAGATACAGTCAAACTTGTCATAGCGGTCACCTTTATCCAGCGGTCACCTGTCCTATGCGGTCATTTTTTTTCCTCCCAATGAATTTTCCTATATAATGTAATTCTATTAAGCGGTCACCTGCGTAACGCGGTCAGCGGTCATCAAATTTCATGTAAAATCGCCGTTTTCCCTCGTATAAAGCGGCCATTTTGTCCGATCACGTGACCAGATCTAAAGTCAGGTGACTCCCAATTTTTGTCGTTAATGTAAATTGGTCGTGTGTAGCGAGATCATGAAAAAAATAATTGGCCTTATTAAAACCATTTAAAATATTGGATAATTTATTTATTCATTTAACAAAGCTAAACAAGGGTGCTAGTGGCCGAAAAGGTTATTGGGAAAACGGACTTATGAGAATCTTAATCTTACTGAATTGGAATCTGGTTTAAAAAAAATTCTGAATGATACACAAGGCATCCTTATATTTATCTATTAATGGCTACAATAATTTCCTAATTATTAGTTCACCTTTGGCATGTCCAACTCCGATGGGTGTAATTGTGTAAACGCATGACAGGCCGTTTTTAACACATAGGAAACGTATTATTTGTAGAAACCCGAATTAACTGTTTTATTTACTCAATGTGTCCTGATTATCTCTTGATTTTCAACTAGGTAAGACGACAGTTAGGATTAGTCACGCTTCATTGGTCACAACACCTGTGAATTTGATATCAATTTGTATTGTGCACTGCTTTGATAAACTGAGAACATTATGACTTGTCTGTTTATTACGCTACTATTTACATAAAATTATCAGGACTAACTAAACTTGTTTTTTTAGAGGCAGTTTAGATAAAAAATATATTATACATGTATTTTATTCATGGCACAACATGATAATGTAACCTTATAATAAAAGAAAGTTTTGTGGTTGTTTGGAGGGAGGATAATGGCAGTGCCCTATTAGACTCAATATATTTTTTGTTGGAGTCATCAAATTTATCTTGAACTTAATCTTGAGACTTTTTAAATTAAAAATAAATCTGAGACCATCGATGTCCAAAGCACATCTTTCTTTTATATTCTATAATGTAGTGTTTCAAAACACAGAACTTACATAAATTGGAAAAGGTTTTTTCTTGAAAAAAGATGCACCTCTTTTCAAAGGTCACCTCTCTATAAAGGTCACTTTTAATGGTTCCCGCAGGTGACTGCTTAATACAGGTTTGACTGTATCTCAAAATTAATTTTTCTTGGTCCCTATCAATTTCTGGATAACAAGGTTTGACAGTAATTATAACCCCTGCTTAAGGTTTGACATTAATTATGAACCTTGACTAAGGTTTGACTGTAATTTATGAATCCTGCCTAAGTTTGACTGTAATAATGAACCCTGCCTGAAGTTTGACTGTAATTATGAACCTGCCTAAGGTTTGACTGTAATTATGAACCCTGCCTAAGGTTTGACTGTAATAATGAACCCTGCAATTATGAACCCTGCCTTAGGTTTGACTGTAATTATGAACCTGCCTAGGGTTTGACTATAATTATGAACCTGCCTAAGGTTTGACTGTTATTATGAACCCTGCCTAAGGTTTGACTGTTTTTATGAACCCTGCCTTAAGTTTGAATGTAATTATGAACCTGCTTAAGATTTGACTGTAATTATGAACCCTGCACAAGGTTTGACTGTAAGATGAACCCTGCCTGAGGTTTACTGTAATTATGAACCTGCCTTAAGGTTTATTATAATTATGAACTCTGCCTACCTGTTTGAGCTTTTCTTGAGTTTCGAGGTAGACCTTATGAAGCTCATCATGCTTGGCTTTAACCTTAAACCAAAAAAGAAGTATGATGAAGAATTAAAAAACAACATCAAGCTTTAACTTCAACATGAACTCCTGACAAAATGGACATTATTGACGAAATACATGTAATGACATCTTGAATTTTCACTTTGATAACTATTATTACTGTCTGTGTGAAAATCTGTTCCATCATTTGCATTGAAAACATTAGAGTTTGTCTGTTTTATGAACAAGTATGGTATAATAAAAGTTTGTCTGTCTATAGTATCTGTTTACCTGTTGTAGTTTGTCCGTATTTTGTTGTATCTGTTTATTCAGGGCAGCTGTCATTCTCTTGTGCTGCTGGGTTCCACCAACTCTTTCAGATTTTTCTATTTGTTCTATCTCAGATTTCTGTCGGGGGAAAAAGCAATTGTTATTTTTTTTTTAATTTACAAGTGTAAATGAGAATACACATGTATTAACTACTGAGTATTTTACTTTAGTTGGACATTTTAACCCCTCATGCCCATCCACAAAAAAAAATGAACAATTTCAACCTTGTTGAATAAATTATATGTGATCCTCCAAATTTCTGACTTGTAAGGAAGGGGGAAATTGTTGGGATAATACAAGTAACAAAGATCTTTTTTGATATTAGAATAGCTTTTGTAAAAAATTATAGATCTTTTTCTTTGACATTTGATGCTATAAAAATCACTGGAAAATTAAATACTAACACCAGGCTCTTGGGCCTCAATGCTTACTTGTCTCTCCTTGGACCCACTGTATTTGAACAAAAGAATTTTAAGAAAAGTTTTGATTAATTTCCCTTTCAAATTTTTATCCCCTGCTGTGGTCCTACACATGCCCAGGGGACAATGACTTGACCAAACCTGTCCTAAGCCACATGAGGATGGTTGTACATCAGTATCATTAACTGCCAATTTGCTGTTTATCTGAATATTTTAAGACCCCTACTGTGGCCAACATTATCCCTAGGGACAATATTTAGACCAAACTTGAATCTTCGCTACATAGTGGGTGGGGCGATTGTTATAAATCAATATGATTATTTGTTGCCCAGCTGTCCTTGAAAAGATTTTTAAATATTTTTGAAATATATTACTATATAAATTTTTGTCTCCCTACTGTGGTCACTCCCTTACATTATCAACCCATAATCTGATGAAATACTCTACATGGGTATCCTTGCATATCAATACGCCTATCTGTAGCCCTGCTATTCTTGACTCTATATTAGGTCCAATAGTAGCCCTCATGGGCCATAATTTGAATTCACTAAATGGGAATGTTTTATGTGATTAATTGTAGCCGTTCTTTTCTTGAATAGAAGACTTTTTTAAAATTTTTCTTAAATATTTGATGTCAATCTTTGAGCCCTGTTGTAGCCCCAGAATCCTGAAGCAGTCTTAGACATACACTGAAAGAGCATTTGAGACTTTTAATTGGAATAAAAAACATCTGTGTAACTTTCTACCCGCTGATTGAACAGAAATTGTGAATCCATGGAATTATGACCCTGCAGAAAAAAATATGTTTACAGTAACCTTACTCCCATTTACTATTCCTTAATTTTCTCCCTTGAAAAGAGAGTAAGCCCTTTATTTGAACAAAGAACAAGGTTCACTTAAGGCTTTTTTTGGCCCTGTGAATTTCTGAAAATCTGAAACTACTTAGTTTTAGTTGACAATGCATAACATTTCATTTAGACACTTGGCGATTGCGAATCTACCAAAAATGACGTCATTTTCTGGCTAGTCAATGCATTATGACGTCATGAAATGCGTCATTTTCCTCATATCCTGAACAATTCTACAAAAACAGCCAATTTTTAAAGCTATTTTTCGATATTTAATATAGAGCGCAATCTCTGATCTAAAATATGCAATTATTTACTGAAAGAACCGTTTCTGATTATTACAAAACATGTTTTATTTTTTAGATCAGAGGGTGCGCTCATATTATTTTTCTTCTATGAAAGTACTTAAATATACCTGTTTTCCTTTAAATTCAAGAACACTGCAATTCCATAAAAGCTTGTTTTCCAAGACCTGGACTTTAAGGAGAAAAATTTTAATAGGAAATGATAGCACTAAGTCTCTACTTTATCTTGATGTTTAAAATGGAACATAAGGTGTTAGACAATAAATTGGTATATCTACAGGGCCATTTTATGCATAAAGTGAACCTAGCTCTTTCTCCTTTTTCCAAGCATTCTTTCTGCCAAGTTTGGTTATAATTTAATTTGTAGTTCTTTGAGAAGAAGTTGAAAAGGTGAAAAGTTAAAAAACAAACCATGCGCAAACATTGAGAAAAGCTCACTTGAACCCTTGGGTCAGGTGAGCTAAAATCAAATGACTGAGTGTTGAAAAAAAGCTCTAAAAAATGAAACTAAAAACTAAGTTTCAACTTACTTTTCCTTCGTAATGGGAGGCAATTTGTTGGATCTCTTCTGACTGCATGCCTACTATAGATCCCACGGCACTCGCTGTTAATTTATCCTGCATGCATGTAATAGCTCAACAATAACTTACAATGTTAATTATCTAAATCATATACAAAAACAACCAAAAAAAAACAACATAACTAGGATACTACAAACATTGTATGCAAGTACTTTGTAAAAAGCAAAAATAACATAAAGCAATACAAAACTGAAGAATCCATGCTGGCAAATAAAAACTTCAGCAAACAAAAAAGTAAAAATGCAGTGATGTGCAAATCTGTTGGAAACTTTCAAATTCTAACAATTTTTTTTTTTTTAAATGATTTCATCCAATCCATCTAAACCATTCCATCTACTATTTCATGCAACTTAAGGTAACCTCCACTGATAGTCAATTCATTAAGGCACAAAAGACAAAAAGAACTTAACTCGAAATACTCATTTGAAGAAAAAAATGAACACTGCAAACCAGCTAGTGTAAAAAAGGTGAACATAATGGAGTTATTTTTTTTTTTCTAAAATACACATAACGAAGATTTACAATTATACTCAATATTACCTGTCTTTTTCCTCTCTTTATTAAAATATTGCAAAGATTAGTTAATCAAAACAGTTTTCTAAGATTTTGAAAACTGAAATTAAGCTTTTCTGAATGTGAAAAAATTGTCTCTTCAGTCTTTACAGAAATTTTGGCGAAATGAACCCTGCTTCATACACACTCTTACAACCATATTTCAAAATCTGCATCAAATACATTAACATTGAGATAAAAAACACTCAGTCCATGCAGAGATGGATATACTTCACAATAATGTAACTCACCTCCTGAAAGCCAGACATTCCTGACATCAGCTTCTGTATTTTCTTCTGCAATGGAAGTAAGCAAGATTTATCTTTAGATAAATACATCTGTGCACAAATTCTGATTCATTAGCAAATGCCAAAAACAGTTCCTGAATGTAGGAATCTCATTGTACATCATTTTTCTCATTTAATCACTGTAAATTGTTATACTTTTTATAAACTTTAAATCAAATATTATCCATGAAGTACTTCTACAATATGTACAGTTAATAGGGCTGCACGATAATATTGATTTTCTGGTGTATTGCGGTTCATTGACAAAAAATGTTGTATTGCAATACATATTTTCAGTACCAATATACTGGAAAAAATGCTTGGGCTTGGGATTTCTAAAGTAAAATATAAAATTTTAAGACGTCAGAAACGTTTTCAATCATGCCAAACAGTAAAGATTGCTATGGTATGGTTGCATTTCAGTACAAAACTGTATTTAAATCAACATGAGCTTTCTGGCTACAATGTATTTATGATAGATATATACATTCCACTTATAAATGGATCGAGGTTAATGAAATAAGAAAAGATCATCTTAACTGTTACTGAATACTGCAACATATGTCGCAATGCAGTTAAAAATATTGCAATACGCAATTCCCAGTCGATACCCAGCCCTAACCATCAAGTCTCAGGAGTCCAGATGCTTCACCTTCCACATAAAATTTGTGCGGAACAGAATTTACATTTATGATTTACTGATTGTGAAAAGTCCATATCAGTAATTCAGACATTTCTTTAATCAAGACAATTGGATTGGGAACACAAACATCCAGATAAAACTGTATAATATAGTAAATAATCTGACCTCTTCTTCAGCCTGGAGTTCCTCTGGGGTCATTTCCTTTTGACCTCCAAGACTACTGGCTGCTGCTTTCTTTTTAGCACTCTTGTCAGCATCCTGAAATATTTAGTATTAAATGTACGGGTGAAACACAATATATAGGGCGCATTGAAAATACCACATTGCTATACATGATTTTTAAAAATATTATTTTCTTTTCATGCAATTTATCACAATTTATTCATAGGAATACTTATGAAGGACTTGTGTGCAAAATTTTGTTGATCTAGCTTTAACAGATTTTAAGTAAATGCAAAAAATGTACCCCAAAAATGTCATTTTTTGAGCGTTATGCTGTTGCACTTAGAAATTACAGCATTTTTCAAATCAAATAATTGTTAAATATCATATATTATCATGCAATTGATAATTATCAGAATTTAGAGATTTTTTTAAAAATTATTTTGGTGCTTGAATTTTCAGGATCAAATCATAACTTTTGAAGATATGAAAGAAAATGTAATAGGGGTGCAATGTTCTACATTTTTTCATTTAATTTTACCCCTCTCATTATGCCAAATAAAAATAATGTCCATGTCATTTGTTTTTTGATATTTCTGTCTAAAATCATAGTATTAATGTTCTGTTACTTACAGAAAAAAATTGGGTCGTGTAACTCATGTAATTTAATTTCATCAATGTTTTAATGTGAAAAATTAAGATTTTACAAAAAACCTGTAGTGTCCGTAACCACTAAAATTCTGTGAAATTGGAAGGCTCTATAAATATCTTTATTAATTTTCTAGATAGGCATTTCATATAGATGCTGAGATGTGCTGTAATTTTCCTGATCATCACCACTGTTTCTCTGGTATCATCACAAATGTGGTTACGGACACTACAAAATCATGTAGTGTCCGTAACCTGTATTTGAGTCAGTTTGAAACAGCCTATGTTAAAACACTAATGCTAGTATATTGACAAAGGTCAGAGGTTTGTTTTACAAGTTAATCAATGTACTTTATTCTTCTCCCTCATTTTGATATTTGCAACGAATTTGGGAAACCCAGATTGCATCATTTCCATATGCAGCATCATTGGTGTTACACCATGATATTGGCAGATGCTATTGACATCCTAGGAATTAAGACAGATACATGTAGCATGCCATTATTTTTTTTCAATGTTGGAAGTCAACTGGTATTACATTTAACAAAATCTTGTTGGAATTCCTCTATTTAAGATAAGTTTCGATCATCCTAATTTAAATAACTTGTTGAGTGTGTAGTGTCTGTAACTTGAAAAATTAAATCTTTATATTTTTTCCCAAAAAATTTACAGATAATTTTTTGAAGCAGTGTATTATTAAATTTAGAGATAAAAAGGTGTTTATTAGCAGGAATTCTTTTAGATCAAGTGGGTTTTTTCTTTACTGCAAGTACTAAAATAATGACTGGACACCCACAATGACATAGAATATGTGGAAAAATTATTATGAGTCACATAACCCGTACTTCTAGTGATATATTGCTTCAATTGTCTAATTGCTGATTAGAAAATATCTTACAATGTACGTGTTTAATGCAAGTAAATTTGCATTCAAAATGTTTAACAGTGGGGAGGTAATTTGGTTACGGACACTACAAAATATTGCAAAAAAAGAAAACAACTAAAATTACACCAAGTTCAGATTAAGTATTGTATATTTAACTGTTTGAAGAAAAACAGAATGCTTCACAGAATAAAATAAAAATACATTAAAGAAATAAGTGAGCTACATTCTTTAAGATTTGACTTTTCTACTTGCACATGATACCTGTATAAAGTTACAAGCGTATAAATTAAAATAGACAAAGTATATTGGTTATGGTATGCTTTTATCAGATGGAGTTGAGACCTGAAGAATAAAAAAATCAGGAGAAACTGAAACGAAAAAAAAATGAAAAAGAAGATGGCAAAAGACTATGAAAAAGTTCATTTTTGCCAGACAGTCTCGTGTAGTGTCCTTAACCCTTAAATTTGGTTGATTGACTTCGTTGACCAGTGTATCTACATTCTAAATAGTTTTCATAAAACGTTAGTGAGTTAGAGAACTTTTGTTCTGCACTTTAATTATATAGTTGTGTGAAAACAGGAAGTTTCAGAATTTTCTAAATTGAATATTTCTTTCCTATTAGCATTAGTTCTGCAAGTAAATTGTTTTTACTTGAAATAATATCTAATTTTCATGTACTTTGTATTTAATAAATCATTTAAATCTGATTTCTAATAGTTCAGAAGTTTATAAAATGTATTTTTTTCCACAGCCCAAAGCCAATCTTAAAAATTTGGATTTTGTAGTGTCTGTAACTAAATAAATTAAGCTATCAAATTATTTTACAAAAATTTATGAAAATGAAATTTCCTATTTTAATGGAAGTATTTTTGTTTCAACAAAGACATCAAAAATGTTATTCATAAATATTTTTTTCTTTATTTAAATTGGAAGTAAAGAGTTCAGATAAATTGAAATACTACCATTTATAAAACAAAAATGTACGATGTAAGAAATGTGTTCATTTTAAAGTTTTACCACCTTTTCTAGTCCAACTTTTGTCCATATTATGTATTTTTATATGTTGCTTGTTTGTGAGCAGTTGGAAAAATTAAGTTTATAAACAGTTTTCAATATTTATTTCAAAGAAAACAACACTTGTAGTGTCCGTAACCTGTGAAAATGAGGTTATTATCAGCGTGTAAAAAATAAAGTTCTAATATGAATTTCGCAAAACCGTTTATGTTTTAGATCCTTTAGAGACTCTACTCTTCAGAAAAAATATTTTTTGGGCAAAATAAAGACGTTAATTTTTTACCCCCATGTGCAACATTACTATTCCCTTTATTGTGTTTCACCCGAACACTTCCCTGAAATGTTTATGCCTTAAATGCCTGCCCATTTTTCTTCAGTCTCCCTACATGTACTCCCCTCACTTCCCCCCTCTTCTTTGTATGCTTGCATTCCCCCTCTAAGTTTATTTAATATCCCCTTCTCTTCCAGTCCAACCCACTCTCAACCCTTTCTGACCATCCCTTTGTCCCTTCACTATCTATCAACCCTCTAAACTGATACATGTATTCTAGTGGTTAGAATTTTGCAACATTATTCAAACAAATGCAGAATTATTTTACAACATAGATAACTATTTTACAGTGTTGTATATATCACATATAGTGAATTCTTTCACAGTATAATTAAGAACCACAATTTTCTGATTAAATAAATCAAACAAGACGATCTTGAAACTAAATATTTTGCATTAGCAGCACCAAAGATTGTAAACAAATATTAGCTGTACCTGTTCAGTAGTGTCAGACTTGCTCAAACCATACCTCCTGGAATACAAATTAAATCGAGTACTACAAAATGTTTTCCAAAAACGATATCAAAATAATATTTTCTACAATATCAACACTTCTATAGAAATTTGATTTATAAACAATTATCTTTATCCCTTTTCCCTATTAATGTTAAATATTTATTTTTATGTTAATCGAGGGTTGATCCAAAAGTTTGTGGAATTTCTTGACATTTTCTTTACTTTTTAATGGAAGTGGTTGAAAATTACAGGTGAAAATATAGAGGCTTGTTGAAATTCATAATAGTAACACTTTGGCAGTTGCCATAGAAACAGATGGTTGAAAATGCGGGAGAGACATTTTTTTGTTATCATTTCAATTCTTCAAATTCACTGTGGAAAAAAATGCGCTAAGTTTCATATAAAATGAAAATATCAAAATTACCATTGCTTGAACTTTTATAAACCTTTGTGTAAAAATTTAATTGATTTTACTAGATATTTAGTTTTTTATTGATGCTTTGTTGATCATGATGACATCGTTAGACAATGTCGAAATTCGGTCATTTAATAAGTTTTGTGAAAATCTCAGATACACTCTGACTAAGATGCATATATCAATGATACAGGCAGAACAAAAGTACAGTAAGCAATGGTTTTCAGTGGCGAAAGAAATTTAAGGAAAATAGAACTTTGGATGATGAAAGGTCCAGCAGCCTAGTGCAAAGTCGTTCTTTCCTCGTAGACAAATTGACAGCGTTTATGGACATGGACTGCCGATGCACTTTGCTTGATATTGCTACTGAAATATAAGAATCATATGGAAGACGGAGCGTGTTTTGAAAAATTATTGTTACATGAAGAAAGCAGGTGCAAGATAGGTATCCAGGCTTTCCTCGAAGGCAGAAGTGGAGAGAAGAATGCAGTTTTCTGTAGAATTTCTAAGTCTATTTGAATGAGAGAGTGAGATGCTCCTAGAACATGACGTGACTTACCTAATTTGACGTTACGTCAAAGTCTCCCCCGCATTTTACAAATGCCTAAGTTTAGAAAGCTCATGTGACCTTAATGGTAATTGGAATGTGGTGAAAGTTTCCAGTATTGTTGCATAATGGCTCTATTTTATAGATATGTCTTTTGTTTGCTTTAATCACATCACAATAAAATTTTAGAAATTTTGGATCAATCCTCATAATTTTTTTTCGTTTTACTAAACACTTGATGTTTCATGAAATTACATGAATCATTTTATTACTTTTTTTTGGTTTTTATTTATTTTTTTTTTTACACCTAGGTTAGTTGACTGATAGAGGTCTCATAATGGTGAAAATATTAGATCAGCATTTTCGATAGTATAATGTATATGGACATCACTGTATCAGACCTGCCATATTCCAGCAGTGTGGAATGAACACGAGTCTCCTCATCCTTTAGTTGATCCACATTTTGTCTTTTGTATCTTCTCTGGGGCTTGTAAACATCCTGTATAAATGTAAATCTGTATATTTTTTCAGTAGCTATGCAAAGTAAAGCTGAAATAATTTTCATAGAAATAGACTTTAGGGCTGTCACAGTTCCAAATTTTTTTGGGTTGGGTGTGTTCTGTAAATTTTTGGTTTCGTTTCGTTTTTGGGTTCTGTTTCATTCCTGAATTTAAGGTTTAAATTTTAAACCTTAAATTCAGGAATGAAACTTGAAAAATCTTTATTTATTAATTAAATTCACCATGAAAATAAGTCTTAACAGGTATTTTCCACTACCAAACGTAGGGCCGAATTAGGCCCCATACCCTTCGATGTTTAGGAATACTAGGCTGACTATTGCTCTTTTTGATAATTATCTTATCCTTTCATTACAAGCATTTTGTTATGGAATGAAGTAGATTTATTTATCACAGTTATCATCATCATTCTTTAGATTTCGACATCATTTGATTCAAATATATAAACCAGATGTCCAGACCTGAACCAAAATTCAAAAAATGGAACCGAAACTAAACCAAACAACTTGGACCGTGGTTTTTGGTTATTTTGGGGAAATGTGACAACCCAAGAAATAGTTTGCACATGATATAATATAAAATTTTTCCAATAAAATGGAAGTTCTAATCCATTGAAAAGATTTAAGGATCCAAAATTTACTTATTTATCAGTAATCCAATGCTTCATTTCAAATGATCTCCCTCTTAACTTGGGGGGGGGGGGGATAAAACAAACCTTGACATTAGACAGGGAGGTCGTAGACTTTTCTTTCAGTTCTTCAAATACAACATCCTGTAATATAAAGCTTGTGTAAGTTATCCAGATTTAATTTGTCATTTTCAAATTATTTAAGTCATAAATTATATAAACTTTGACTTCCTGAATTCATCAAAGCATATGTACTTATTATTTAACTTGTAGTCAAAGAGTGCTAGCCATATCAAAAATTGAATATGAATAAGCTGCATTAGAATAAATTTGAATACTTTTTTAAATTTTGACTCTTACTTGTAAAGCACCAATTTAAAAAAAAATAAGCAAACTGTAAGAATAGAAAGTCAAACCTCTGGTGTCTTGTGTGTTTTACTGAATTGAGATATTGAGAAAGCACGGATAAAATCTCCCATCTCTTCCCTGGTTTCAATGGCCTTCTTCACCAACCACTAAAGCACAAAAAAAGCATTATAGAATTATTATGCTTTAATGTATAATTTAATGTACTGGAAAAGTTATTTTATTATGCTAAATAAATTTATTTCAATCATATTAAACATATTTTATCTTGAACCACATATATATTCACGTACTTTGTGAAAAATATGTTTTTGGTATATACATGTATGCAGGAATTCAATTCACGAAATTCATGTAATTTTACAAATTAAAGTTAGAATGCTGTAGAAAGAATTAAATCACAAGAATATTGTCTTCATAGCATTAACCTGTTATATACAGTGAAATTACTAATATTCGTGGGGGGGGGGGGGGGGGTTATAATTTTCATTGTTTCCAGGTATGAAGAGACCCATGAATTCATGTCCACAACTAAATATAAAATTACATATACACAACTACTAAACAGTTCTTTATCCTTGAAATCAAATCCACATGAATCAATATTTTTTCCTGAAACCATGAAAATTTGACCCCACAAAAAATACGTGATTTTATATTATTATTCAGTCACCTGAACTACGGGGTAGATATGAATGAAATCTAAGCCCTGGATCTGATGTGGTTCAATTCTGTGTGGACATTTCATCTTAGGAAGGACAGCCACAATTCTCTCTGTTAAGGCACTGTTCAAAATAAATACAATGTATTAAACATAAAGATAAATAATGCTAAACTAAGTTAAATTATTGAACTATATTAAGAAATTATAGACACTTGTATACTTATATAATCATATTATATATACAATTGAACTTCGGTATCTCGAACAATGATATCTCGAATACCATGGATATTTTGAAGTGATTTGGAAGTCCTAACCCCTTATTCTTTAAGTATATTACCCACGATATCTCAAATCCTCGGATATCTTGAAGTTTTTTTTGGTCCCAGAGAGTTCAAGATAATGAGGTTTGAATGTATCATAAAATACAGTGAAAAATTATAAATTGTAGCCATAACTATAAGATTTACACTGTATGAAGACTGTTTGGGTGAAAATAATTGAGACAGTAAGTCAAAAGTGAGACTAGGCAGATCTATACTCACATCTTCTGTCCAATTGTTGAATTTTCTTGAAACAAAAGATCGACATCAATGTCTATATTACAGGTAGTGATACACCATGTCATTCCTCCAACCACCTGATAATTAATGGATACTCATTTAAACAAAAATTAGCAAAGGCATTCTGACAGGAAGCTCATTAATAGTGATGAGCACGAGAACTTCAAAGGAATACTTCAGCGTAATTACCATGTGTAGTGTGAATCCACCCTCATGATTTACTAGCATTGGTATGTTACTAAATAAAATGTTCATTAAAACTATTTTATTCTATGGACCAGTTTGATGACAAAATTCATTCTGTGTTAATTTTTACAATGTAGCAAAGTAACCAGGGGAAGATAACTCTGATCTAGAGTGCAGAGAGTACAGCATGGCAACAAGGTGGATACATTTTTAAGCTAAAAAATAGTACATAAATTTAAAATGTGTTAAAGTCTACTTGTTTAAAGGAAATATTTCTTTTTTGGTCAGAAGGCACGATAGTCAAAAAATTTCAACTATGTTGAGGGCTTATCCCAAGACTCTGTTTAATTCATCTAACCCAGTATACACTACAAGAATAAATTCGGCATCATACTTTATCAAATGGAGAGAGACCCTTTATCCTGGCCCTGAAATATCCGGCAGCCAACAACAGGTCGATAGTTTGTCCCAACTTAACATTTTGCTCTTCATCCTCCCTCACATCAAACTGCAAACATTTGATTCAGAAATTAGTGAATGAATGGACAACTATCATACAACAGTTTAAAAATTAATAGACCGTTTCACGGTAACTGCGGCACTGCTCTTTTGCAGGGCAAAATGATATAGTTTGGTGGAATATGACGTAAAAGTAATTGTTTAATATACGTCATTTAATTATCTCTCCAAAGAAAACTTCGCCAAACGTTATTATTTTGCCCTGCAAAAGAGTAATACCGCAGTTACCGTGAAGGGGCTAATAGGGTGGAAATTCATTTTTAAAAATTGTACTGGAAATCATGAAAGGTATGATGATTTATTCTGACTTCAATACATTATACGCAGAATTAATCTGCAATGAATAACATTTCCCATGTTTTAATACTGAACTACTATTACTATATCCATAATGATAGATCATTGAAACTGTTGATAGATCATGTCTATGCTATTTTGTGCAACCGTTCATTTCATGTTTGTAAATAAATGCATTTATTATGAGCATCAACATTGATTTTTGATACCTCTATTTCATTGCCGTCTGCATCGTATTGTGTGGCCAATTTAGATGATCCTGCACGAGCTCTGGTCGCAAACACACTCCCCTTCAGCGCCATTTTGAAAGTCACATGATCTGTCACTTTATAAATAGATGAACCGGAAGAGTTCCCCACGATCTTCTTTTGACAGTCATGGCGGGAGAAAAATACTGAATGTTGATTGGCTGATAATTTTAATCGTTCAAGAATTCCTCAATTTTGATTGGCTGATTGTATATCATCCGAGATTTCTTCATGGTACGACCATCAGGCGTCACAATTCATAACACTCACCGGTCACCAGACTTTAGTGTATAAAGGAAAACTAATTGATATCAACAGACAGAAAAGTTTGTAAACATCAGTTACACTCAGGTAAGATCAGCTATTGTTTCTGAGGTGTTGAAGTTTAGAAGCGAAAGGAAGAACGTTGGAAATTATTCCTGGGAGCTTTGTTTACATTTTCGCTGCAGGTGGTCAGTGGTAAATAACGGTAGATTATAAATAATGTTTGTCAGGTATCGTTTTTCATTTTTCCCTAAGTAGACCCACTTTGTAGATCTTGTGTACAGTGTAAGTATTTGTGCTAGTCTATGTATGCATACATATGCATAGCCATTTTTCTTGTGCCAATTAACCTGAAAACAGCTGTTATACATGAGACCCTGCTGAAAAAAATGCACATTAAAGAAGCAGTAAAATCTACTTATCTATTAAAGACGGACCAACTTTTTTTTTCTCAAACAGGTTTTTCAAAGATGGGTCTACTTCTTAGAGGGACAGTACTCTTTCTGATTGGCAATTTCTTTGCGGTCTTCATGAACCTCCTTCAGATTAATCGACAGGGTGATGTGTCTGTGAAATTACCCCCAGAGCTGCTGGAGAACCTCTTCCTAAAAGAATGGTGGGTTCCACCTATGTGCGGAGCTGCTGCAGGTAATTTGCGTAGTCTCTAAGTTTATTGAACATGTTGAAATTGAGGTCCAGTGAATGTTCTTGACAGAGTTGCAAGATGGCTATAATAATTGTTACTCTGGATATCTTCTTATTAGTGGCTATAAGCTTACCATAAAATACCTCTAATTATAGATCTGTGCCTTTTTAAATGTGTTGCAACTCAATCTTTCCATTTACTTGCAGTGTAAATGTAACTTCAATTCCAGGTTTATATAAGTTTTTTTTAATATGATATGTATATATGACAGTCATATATTAGGAATACAGTTATAATATTTAAAGTTTTTGAAATTTGATGAACTTTTAAATTATTGTTTGGAATGGAAAATTTGCAAAAGAAATAATAAAATCTTTGGACATGCATATATATACATGTGTATATAAGTAGTTGAATACTTTTTGTCTAATTGGACAAATGAAATATTTTGTTAATCCATGCATACAGAGGAGATAATGTGACTGTAATGTGATGAATGCAAATTATAGACTTTTACAAAAACCTCCAACTAAGAAAATTTCCTAATTTTCACATGGAAATTGAAGGTTTCTCCAGATAACACAGTGGATAATTCCCATGCATATAAGCCTAACACACATAATAACCCAAGTCATTGATAAAATACTTGTCACCTTGCCAAGTTCTCTTGTTTACATCTTGTCTGCAACAATATGGTGTGACTGCAATCACTGCATGTGTTAGTATCTATGTGAATAAGGGATTAGCCAGGTACTTGTGTACTACTTGTATGTACAGTTTGGAGATAGGGACAGTCACCTTAAAACTGAATCAGACAAGGTCTAAACATAAGTGACCTAAATATAATGAAGTATCTGGGTTATCTAAGACATCTATTTGTACATGCTGTGGAGCAGCTCAGCTGGTTAACATGTAAATGTCACATTAATGTACATTAGTAAATCAAAACTAAGATTCAGTGCATTACAAGAAATTATAAATTAGTAGACTCTTTATTATAACATTATACAGTCTTTGCAATCATATGTTGAATCCGAAAGAAAGCTTATTCAGATCGATTTGTATATTTTAATACTACATTTTGTAATTATTATATTCATATCTGCTGACTACTGCAATATGCAGCTAAATCATCAATAATATATGTATATATGTGATTCTAATCTATGGGTTAACCAGACATTCTACAATAAATAATCCACCAATAATCAGGTTTACGTTTCATACCTGTAGACTGAAATGTTGCAGCTTGAGCATTGAATGAGCTCTAGCCAAAGTGGACAGTTCAATTTGATTATTGACAGACCATTTAAACATGGTTAATGCTCATGTTTTTTTCTTCGTTTTTTCCCCCAGCTGATCTGTTTAGACTCTAACATCTAATGAACTACTTAATATATATCGCAAAGTTTGAATTTTACTTAAAATATATTTAATGTATTCATTTTCTTTTGGGAGGTGTATGGGTTTGTTCTCTAAATCTTGTAAAATTGCAGGATTTTCAAATTATGTCAATGCATCATCAATGTAGAAGATGTATCTTATCAAGAAATTTTGGTGTATTTCAGCAATGATAGGCCTTCTGTACCCTTGTCTGGACCGACACCTACAGATCAGCAACTCAGAGTCAAGGAAGGGGGAGTGGTCCAAAGTAATGAGGTGTATAGCTGTGTTTGTGGGCATCAACCATGCCAGTGCTGTATCCTTCACATAAACATGAACAAATACTTTTTATTTTACTGTACATACATCATCTCATTTATGTCTGACATACATATGTGTTGCCAAGACAAAAACAGGATGGTTCTAGATGACACATATTTGCAAATGCAATGCATGTGATGGTATTTTAATTTGTTTTATTTACAATAGTCTACAGTAAGTAATGATAACAAGGACAGATTATCATCTATCAGTACCTGTTTGGGGTATTTTTAGCTCAAACAAGTTCAAGATTAGTATGAAAGTAGTGATAATTTATATAGTGTCAATATTTATCAAATAAGCTTAGGACATTGGATCATAGTATAAACTTATGATATATATCCTGTACACAAAATTTAATATCACCTGTATCACACAGGTAAATGGACAACACGCTAGTCTGAATATTCTTGTCAGTTGCTTTAAAAAGATGTGTTAGATGTGGATGAAATAAAGAAAGTCACAATTGGTGTTTTACCCAAGTATCCCAAAGCACTTTTTAGCTCACCTGAGCTAAAAGCTTGAGTGAGCTTTTTCTGATCACCCCTTATCCATCCATCTGTCCCACTTCTGTAAACTTTTCACATTTTCAACTTCTCAAGAACTACTAAGCCAATTCAAACCAAAGTTGACACAAAGCATCCTTGGATAGTGGGGAGTTTAAATTGTGAAAATGAAGGGCCAAGCCCTTCCAATAATCAAGAAAAGACAAAAATAGAATAAGGTCATTAAAAAATCTTCTTCTCAAGAACCAGTGGTCCAGAAAAGCTGAAATTTATGTGAAAGCTTCCTGAGGTAGTGTAGATTTAAAATTTTTCAAATCAAGGCCCCCAGGGGTAGGGTGGGGCAACAATAGGGAATCAAAGTTTTACATCGAAATATATAGGAAAAATCTTTCTCAAGAACCGCTTTGCCAGAAAAAATGAAACTTATTTGGAAGCTTCCTGAGGTAGTGTAGATTCAGATCATTCTGAATTGTTCTAATCATGGCCCAAGGGGTAGGTCAGGGCCACAATAGGGAATCAAAGTATAACAAGGGGAAAATCTGATGAAGAACAGCAGGGCCAAAATTACTCAAGCGAGCGTCGTGGCCCATGGGTCTCTTGTTGAAGTGCTGATGTGTTTACTATAAGAATGATCATTGATTTGAATTGCCTTTAACCTTATTACTAGAAACTGGACTTTGTGAATAACATGCAGCTGTCTATGACATTAGCAGCTATGTCTATTGGTCTATGGTGGCTGTTTGACCGGTCTCCATGTGGATTTGGCCTGGGGGTAGGGATTGCCGTCCTTGCAACACTAGTCACACAACTTTTAGTCTACAATGGTGTATACAAGTAAGTCAAAAAGCAAACAAAAACATTTTTTTAAAGAATTACATACTATTTGCCTCATTTGTAACTAACATTTCAACTCCATTTTACTTTTTTCCAAATTTTAACTTGCAGCCTCTTGATGGAAGTTAAATTGATCATAGAGAGAAAAAATGCTGAAATGTATTAATTAATAATTAATTAAATCTTGTTTTATTAATTCAGACCTATAGTGAACAAGGATATTGCAAAATAATGCTAACAAGGAGATATGACGTTTTACTGTCTAGGAGCAATGGAGGGAGTATTTATTGTATACGGAGTGTTTTTTGTATAAATATGGTGTTTATTCTATGTTCTAATATTTCTTTCAGTTATTCCAAAGCTGAGTTCCTATTTGTTAGATCATGGCTTCCTTGCATCTTTTTTTCTGGTGGAGTGACCATGGGAAATATAGGGAGGCAGCTGGCTCTGGTAAATTTGTTATATTTCAAGTTGTCATTAGATGGAGAAGTTTAAGAAGTACAACACTCATATATTTTATTGAAATAGCATGTAATGACATAATTTTCATAAATAGAATTTTTGAATTTTTACAGACATACAGATTTTAGTTCTTTGATAGTGGCTTGTATTTATTTTAAACTGAAGTAGATTTTTAACTACTGCTAAATTGTTGATACTTGGCACGCATGTCATATTTTATGGCTAGAGTGTAATACGGAAAATTTATTATATACCCAAGTGTGTATCACTCAATATTACTGTACATTTCGTACAATCACGTGACAGTGTGATCCGACTTTCCGGATCACCACACTGTGGTTTTCTGAATCCATATCACCCCTCTCTGAAATTGATGACGTAGTACACAGAAACATGACGTTATTTTTCATGCGCATCAAAAAGTTCCTGGACAAAATGCTTTGTTTAATGGAAAAATCTTATATAATTGATCTCAAAAGTTTTTAAAACTATTTGCTAGTTGTAAAGGGGGTATATAATAAATTTATCATTATAGCAGCAACTTGATCCAAAGAGCCGTATCACGTCTCGTTGACAGGCGCGGATCATCAGATCAAACTCGACGCTTCACGTCTCGTTTGATCTGATGATCCGCGCCTGTGAACTTGACGTGATACAACTCTTCGGATCAAGTTACTGTTATAATAATGTATATGTATTAAGGATTTTTATAACTGAATAAGAACTCAGTGTGATATTATTTTGAATTTTTGTATTAAACATTGTTGTATTAAGTTTAAAAAAAATTTTATTTTGCAGTATGATGAAATCCCAGCAAAGACCAAAACTGACTGAAGGACTAGACTGATATTTTTACTGTTATGATTATGGTTTACTCAAAGAAATGGGCTTACCTCATCAAGAATTATTTTGGGTTTGTGATGAACTGTGATATGACCTATTAAGAGTATTAAACAAAAAAAAGGGGGAGTTTACTCCTTACACAAAATGCTTCACATAGGTCTCTTGCAAGCCAGGAAGACATAAAAAGAGATGAAGCCCCTGCTGCTTCCAAGAATTGGGTTATTCCCTTGTGACCTGAGAGTTGATCTGTGGCCAGTGCTGAACTTAAACTGTGTGGTGTTCACAGTCAACAACTGAAATATTGTGTGCTGAAAATATACCAGATGTAGGATTGTCAACACTGTATTTACAAGTAGAATCATCTTCTTGCAAGGGTACATAGAGTTATTGTAGTGATTGTTGTTCAAATGCAGATCATAATTGGCAGGATGTAGTCCTTTGAAAATACTGATACAATAGCAATATTAAGTCTGACTTTATTGATTGATACTCGTGATCTTTATTCATCTATGGTACATTTATGTGTTGAATGTGTTTGTATATGCCATAGCTTTCTGAAACTAAGAAAGTACTAGATATGTTTAAGAATATTTTCTAAAACAAGGACTCATGTCACATCAAGGGTTCATATGTTTTGAGATGTGTGAGGTGACAAACATTTCCTATGTACATCTAGTTTGTTCAAATTGATGATTTGGTGAGTTTAAAAGAAGAAGAATGACATTTTAAATGAGGAAAGAAGAAAAAAGATTTTCTGTTTCTCAGTTATGTGTGTGTGTCATATTTCAGAGACCATTGTATGTGTTATTTGGTGAATGATTTGAGGAGAGATGTGATGTACATGTATGTGAAATGATCTTGTTTTGAATGATTTCATCAACATGAAGTTTGAAAGTTATATAAATCATCATGTATAATTGATTTTTTTTTGCTCAGTTAAATGAAGTATTACTATACTTCTTTATTGTATACAAATGTTGTGGAACGATCTGAAGTCATCATTTATTTTCCTGTTTTTTGTTGATTCAAAAGTTAAGTGATCACATCAAAATGTGTAGAGCTCTTTAATGTTATAGATACGGGTTTTATTTAAGCCTACATTAAAATGGCAATAACTTTGAGTAAGTTGTTTTCAATTTTAAATAAATTGCTTTTACTTGAGCAATAAATGACAGGGTGTAATTCTTATTTTTGGATGTCGTCAATCCTATAACAGCACCTGTCAATGCAAACAAATCACACTTCGCTAATGTGATATTCAGTTTGTCAGCACAGCCAGGATCTGTTGTAGGACCGATGACCTCCAAAAATTAGAATTCAGTGCTTAAGTTTTGGTTCCAGCTGACATGCTGTTTTAACAATATCGTCTTTGTTTGTAAGGCTCATTACAACTGTATTTTAGAAGAACTTCACTTAATTTACATCAGGAAATCTAATTTATACTTGGAGTACACTTTCTATAAGGGTAAAATTCTTCAAATACACCTTTCAGTCTTTAATACTTTTAACATTGCAGTCAACTAAAGTGGGTCCTATTTACCTGACTGGATTCCTAATCTACATTAAAATTCTTACAAAGATACATTACAGGATCCAGCAAATGATCTTCCAAACTGCTATCCATCCCCCTCACAAAGATATTCATTGCAGTGAAGAAGCAACTTCAGAATTTAAGACCAAAATGTATGACTTCTGTACACTTTATAAAACCATTATTCATGATAAATTAAAAACTAGGCTTTTAGATATCATTACATAGACAACTGCTTCTTCAACAAGAAGCCTAAGGGCCTTAACGGTGACCTGGGTATAATACAACAATTTAGAGGATCCACAGAGTATAAAATAATCTGATAGATGAAGCTTTGTTGCCCCAAAGCAAGAGAAATAGGATGATCAGGATCAACAGAGTAATTAGTTAACTGTAGCATAAATTACATTCTCATCTGTCCCACATTTATCACTATCACCATGCACATTATTAAAAATTTAACCCCATATTGTGACCTCTCATATTGGCCTCCCTTGGTTTTTGAAGAACATTCAATAAGATAAGTTATTTTTGTCTGATTTTTATTTATCTATTATTTACAAGTCTACCTGATCATTAAAACTATGATAGTACTTTTTGCATAATAATATAAAAATTCTTGCATAATTCTGTTGTTCTATTAACCTTTCAAATACATTATTTACAGTGATTAAATATCAAAAGTGAATTGCAAAGGAAAATAACTTATTGTAGAAGAAAACAAAATAATAGAGCCCTGGCCAGGACCAGAACATATATGATCAAAGTAGTCCAGATGTTCAGAAAACTGGAAAAATACCCTTGCTTATTAAAAATTTTACTCTGTTTGCCTCCGATATTTCCAGAAGCAGAGAAGATTTTCAAAGAAATAATGCATTTTCACTACAGATTCAACACAGCCCTATCCTAAAACACCAGAACCCATGACTCAGGGTCATGAAATTCACAAGTTTGGAAGAGTACCCTCATCATGATAAGTATTCACTTAGTTGAGGATTTTCAAAGAATTAACAAATTTTCACTATCCATCTCCACACCCCGAGAAACACCAGAACCCCTGGCCCTGGGACTACAAGTTTTTAAAAAATTGTTAGAAGCACCCTTGTTTATCATAAACTGTGACTATGCACTTCGATTATCTGCTTAAGACTAAGGAGCAGACAGGATTATTTAATAGAATTAATGCATTTTCACTTCACGTATATTATTAATAGAGCCCCGCCCTTACATTAGATCATTTGACCCAAGCATTCTTGTTCATCATAACTATACCAAGTTTCTTTGCTTTATATCCAGGAGCAGAAAAGAATATTTTCAAAGAAATTATGCTTTTCACTACGCATTCAATAGAATCCCTCCCCCTTTCACCAGAACTGACCCAGGGGCCATGAAATTAACAATTTAGGAAGAGGCATCCTTCCTCATCATAACTTTGTACTTAATTACAGTTGAACTTCAGTATCTGAAACACTAATATCTCGAATGCCATGGATTATAATGTTGAAGTGATTATATTTATTCTTTAAGTACTTTACCCTGGATATCTCGATTCCTCGGATTTCTGGAAGTTTTCCCTTGGTCCCATTGAGTTCGAGATAACGAGGTTTGCCTGTAGTTTGTTTAATACCCCAGAAGCAGAGAAGAAGATTTTCAAAGAATTAATATATTTTCACTATTTAAGCAATTCAGCTTCGCCCTAACACCAGAACCGGCCATGATATTGCAAGTCATCACGCTTAGAGAAAATGTGTCTTTCAAATTTACACACCACACAATGATTTATTAATTACAGATATACAAATATATGTGCACATTTGAAAAACTTACAACTAATACAATGGCATTTTAATAATTTAATACATGTACATTTGTAATTGCGAGATTCTACCTGCCAATGCAAGAATCAAGGGTTCTATCCAGGTTACTAGAATATATCATAATATCATGATGATATTCTGATGATATTCTAGTAACCTGGATTTTTAGATTACCAATCACAAGATATGAAAATTTCCGAGTTTCATTTTTATTAGGTCACCTGGCTGAGTCACTCGGTGAATAGTCAATTGCTATGCCTTTTTGTGAAGATGGCATCAAGCGTCGTCCGCTGTGCGTTAACATTTTCAACCAAGTCTTCTTCTCTGGAACCGCTGAACCAATTTCAACCAATTTGGCATATAGCATCTATGGGTAAAGGGGAACAAAAAATCTGAATTGTTGTAGTATTATACTCAGGTCACCTGTTAAGGCCTTTGGGCCTCTTGTTGAAGAAACATTTGTCTATATAACGATGATATCTAAAAGCCTAGTTATCATGAATAATGGCTGTATCAAGTGTACAAAAGTCATACGTTTTGGTGTTATTGATTAATGTCTTATGTTGCTTCTTCACAGCAGTGTACGTCTTGGGTGGGGGGGTGGGGGGTGGGGGGGGGTAGATAGGGGCTTGGTGGATCATTTGCTTGATCCTGTAATGTATCTTTGTAAGGATTTTTATGGAGATTCGGAATCCAGTAAGGTAAATCCGACCTACTTTAGTTGACTGCAATGTTAAAAGTATTAAAGACTGATAGTGAATTTTAATTTTAATTATCCTTATAGAAAGTGAACTCTGGGTATAAATAGAATATCTAGATGTAAATTAAATCAAGTTCTTCTAAAATACAGTAACAATAACCCTTACAAATCAGTTTCTCATGATCAGTGCCAAGTAATCTTGATTGCCTTTGAGAAAAGACTTTTTTGGAGGTTTGAAAGTTTTTTCATACACAATTTTAACATCTCCATGTTGTCTTTGCCCAGTAATATGACGCAGCGAGACAAGAAAGTGAAAGTACGTTTTAATAATACTTTTTATTACAATTGTTATTGGGATATACTTACATTTACTGTCTCCTAGTAATAAAAAGCATTAGATATTTTCAAGCGATATCTACACGTAACACACAACACACAAGCACTAAAATCTCTAGGGCGTATATGAATATGAGAGCTACATTGTATACTTAGTTTTACAAACAAAACGTCTGTTATCAAGTCATATTGTATCATTTGTTAATAAATTAAAGAAATTCTTATTAGATTTCCACAAAATAAAAAATAAAAAATTTGGGTAATCAAAATCAATCTTTCAGCATTATGGACTCTTTTTTCGCATGGTAGTAACTGCTCCAATGGCTCTTCCATTAAGGTTCATATCTGATGAATCTTATGATTTTCCAAAGGAAATGTTTTTTATAAGTAAAAAACAGACAGTTATATCATAGCTTGTGGGGCAAAATTAAACAAAAAGACACTTCAACTTGACCAATTTCTAAAGAAATAAAAGACATTTATTTCATAAAGAGTTATCTCTCTTATCAGAATATCAATGAACCTAATTGGACTTACCCAAAGAAGGAATTTTGAAATATAAATCAAAATTACAGACAATGCAATGAGTTAAAATGTTAATATAAGCATTATACTGTACGTGTACATAAATTGGCGTATTCAAAATTTAGCGCAATCACTAGGAATGGAGTTTTTGGCGAAATCATGAATTTGTGCTATACATGTCCGTGCCGTATATTCAAGTGTATTTTTAAAATTATTTCTAAGCGGTATTCATGAATTAGTGCATCGTTGTCTGCGCCAAAGCTGCTAAAATATGAAACCCGCTTTTTAAAGTACAAATACATGCAGTATTATTATTTTTTTTTAAAAGATGCAACAGTATATGCAAACACATTTTCATAACGCGCTTACACGCGTTTCTCTAATCTGTTTGCATAAGAGACTATAAAAATTCAATGCTTAATTAAAATATGATATGTACAAATATTGTTCTCAAAAAATGAAGTCAAAACTGATAAAGAAAACTTGTCAAAAAGTAGAAAAAATCCCACTGGGATACCTTGCTCAGAAAGTAGAAAAAATCCCACTAGGATACCTTGCTCAGAAAATAGAAAAAATCCCACTGGGATACCCTGCTCCTTGTTACATCTATAAACTTAATACAATTAGAGTACATAACTTTCCATGCACAATGCAAAACTTATAACGCAAATCACAAATCCATACTCAGTAATAAAAAAAAAAGTCCAGAATTGCGAGTGATCACAAGAAAGAACTACAGTATAGATAACTGATAACTCGACCGTTTCTTTCTACATGTATGTAGAAAGAAACGGTCGAGTTATCAGTGCCATGGTGTAAAAAAAAATGTGTCAAATGACAAATAATATAATCGTAGATTATAAGGTTTTGGAAGAATGTATTACAATAAAATCTTTAGTTGATTACTTTTTTGTGGTTTTGATACAATCATTTACATGAGGTTTGAATATAAACCAGTATTACGAAGAAAAATTATTACAGTAATTATTACAAAAAAATATTACAAAATTACACCAAAGTTTGAATTCTAAAATTACAGTTGTATTACAAAATTATGGTCATATATGCTTGAATCACATGAGATTGCGTAGCTATCAATTTTACCGAAATTTCCAGTAAATATAAAAAATACGTAAAACCTATTATAGGTATTACATGTACGTATTTTTATATTTACTGAAAATTTTGGTAAAATTGACAGGAACGCGAACTCCTGTGCTTGAATGCAAAAAGAAAAAAGAAGTTTTTACATGATCGCATAATATTAAGGTGACCTAACAAATTGAATTGGATAATTTCGTAAATGTAAATACTAGTACTTTAGTTCTGTTATTATATGATGTGCGACTTAAATATTCAGGAGTCCAATCAGTACTTCAGCGTCAGGTTCAGCACAACTTTTGAAGGGTTATAGCCAGCAAAAACCGGAAGTAATATATTTTCGGTATCTATTTCCAAGGAACATAGCATTTGGTTGGAGTCAAAAATTTGCCAAAGACCTTTTCTCATATCAACTAAAAACCCAAATGCCTTATGAAAAACGCTATCAACAGTGTTGTCTGATATCTTTTGGTGAAACACAGAACGACCCTCGTGGGCAACTGTGATGCACACTGCGTTACAATGCGCGTGATGGGAGCCAATCAGAGACCAGCAATAAGGCTGACCTTCCACGTGATGTTTGTTGTCAATCGACGATTCCAAAGCGAGGCCAATTTCAAATACAAGATCTGTGTCGTCAAGTATTTTTCTCAGCCAGAAACAAACATCGATCTCGTAGAAATAAACGTCGTCTTTCTGAAATGGCATTGATCCGCATGTTCCCTTAAAACGTTTAAATTGTGTACTAGGCGGTGGTGCAGTCCTTAAAATTGATGAAAAATTCTGGAATATCTGTCCTTTATCTGTGACCATAACATCTGAATGTGCCCTGACGTCGTCAAATGTGAAATTGGGTCCTACAAATCATTTCGTTCATTCAAATTATAGTGTAATATTTTACAATTCAAATTATTTAAAATGCACTTTTAAGAACCTCTTACTTAGGTGAGATGGTTTTTATACAATGCTTAATAAACTTACTGCATGCATCTCTGTTCATAATGGAATTGAAACCAGCTTCGCCTACACATGCAAATTGTAAATATATACGCTTTAATCACACATACTCTTTTTTCTTTGTTTGAAAATACTCAAAAATAGTACACATTCATTTGAGATTTGAGCACTCATGTATAGAATGATATTAATATTTAATGCAGAAAATGGATTCACGATGCAAAATGTACAAAATAATCCAATAACAACTTTGAATTTCATGCATAAAAAATCCGATGATGCTGATCATGCATTATTATTGAATATCACATATTTTTGATGCTACTCACAATGCCGTGGATGAGATTCATCTGGAGCCACATCAAAAACTAAGCGACTTACATCTTTCCTCATCACTTCAACAACCAGCTCGAATTTACCGGAAGTGAATGGTACGTACGAAACAACCAAAACGCCCACAGCAGACTGACTTTCCTGTGCAGGTGAGAGCGTGATTTTCTTTCCTATATTCAGGGGATGAATTGAAATTTAATCAAATATCTTATTTCAATATATAAAATTTATAAATATACAGTAAACTTTGCTTAATATAAGGAAGTTTAATGGGGACATGAATCTTATACACTGTAGTTTCTAGTAACATATTCTTTACATCCTTATCAGAAAGTGTTTTGAGGGATGGAGGGTTGGGAAAATAATACACTTGTATTTTCCATATTTAACCGGTCGCCCGTGTGGCGCAGTGGTTAGAGCTTCTGCTCTAGAGTCGCGGAGTAAGGAGTTGATCCTTACGTCGCGGGTTCGAATCGCACTGCGGGACGTGGAGACCGGTCCTTCGGATGAGACCAATATAAACCGAGGCCCCGTGTCGCAGTAGGTACTGGCACGAAAAAAATCCCTCACTGCTCAATGGCACTGAGTACCGAGTATAGGTCAAATTTTGTAGCCCTCCACCAGCAATTGATGGCGTCTCCATATGAGAGAAAAAATTCTCGAGAGGGACGTTAAACAACAATCAATCAATCCATATAACCGAGATTTCCCTACCGGTATATCCGAGTTCCTCATAAGCGAGTTTTACTGTAAGTCATTTAACTGTGGGTTTGTTGTCATACCTGATGGATCGGCGACAGTGATCCTCAGATTCTCGGTAACACTGGTACCGGTTTCCACTGGTTGGTTGCGGTGATCTCTGAGATACACTGATAGCCTCGTCAAACTGTTTTCTACGGCCTTACCGGAAAGTTCAATCGTCGTGTAAGGCGGGAAAATAGAAGAGGACCAAATCTTTAAGTTTTCGGTCAGAATCTGTTGCAGTTCTGTCATGACTTTGGATTTCTCAAGAGTAACAAATGCGCGTTCATGAGGCACTCTGTCAAAAGGGTCATGTTGCAACCGATATAATCGATGCATTATAGTCTTGTCTATTTGTGAAAATGCTGCATCGTTTGTTGAGCAAAGAGTGTGCTCTGCAAATTTCAAGGCATGGGAAATGTCCTCTTCTCGTTCAGACAGAGATTTTCCCTGTTCTTTAAGTGTCTCGCGTTTCTTGTCCACTCTTTTCTTCAGATCGAATTTTAGTTCCATGCGTTTTTGTTCCAACATTTTGATCATCTCTTCTATTGAAAAATCAATGTCATCCTCTACTGTTCTTTCTAGTTCATTAATGACCTCAATCTCACTTTTCACATGTTGTTTCACTGGTTGAATTTCCTCTCGAGTCTTCTGGATTTGTCTAATGCTTTTTTTCATGTTCAGTTTTTTTGTAGCCGCTGTTTCTTTTAAATCGAGATGCGTGTGACCTTTCGATGGTTTGCACGTGATGACTGCACACACAAGACATACTGGTTTCTGACAAGTCTCTTTGTTACAGTATACAGTAAGATTGCTGTCTTCGCTACCATTCTTATGCAAAGGGCATTTCAAGGGTGTATGAAAAGCATCTAAATTATTCGTGTCTATGAGCTGAGACAAATCTCGGATTTCGTGGTTTCTAGTCATTGTCGTTCTTCTGTGTGCAGAGGTACAATCATCGCATAAAAACTCAGCACAAGTAACGCATCTTGTGGAAGCCATTTTACCATCACCCTTACAAGAGATGCAGTCAGCACCCTTCTTCATGCGAAGAAAGTCCCTCAGATCCAGGCGTGTGTTGTCTAGCGGAAATGACTCCGTAACATCGTCTGACTTAATGTCAAATACTACCCCACACACGACACACTTGATCTGTTTGGAATGCTTCTGACGTAAATCATGCAAGCACCTGCTACAGATAGTATGAAGGCATGGTAAAAGGTGAGCAAGTAATCTATCATCGTTCATAAAGTTCCCTTGGCATCGTGAACATGTCAAATACAGTTCCTCTAGTTCATGAAGTCTGCGGTCTGAGAGTTCTAAATCTGTATGGTGACCATCTTCTTCCATCGTTGTAATTACAAATAACTATCTGCAAAAAACCAAATACAAGGTTAAAGATAGGTAGTATGGTAGAAAATAATACACTCTGGGGATTTAACACCAAATGTTGGATATGCCTCTCTAAATAGACAACTACAGGTCTCAGTTCTCTTCAGAGACGACTGCCATTCAGTTCCTCACAAACAATCCGCGACATCATATCTGTTCAGTTCCTGGTTCATATTTGCTGTTTTCAACATAACATATTTCCCCCTTTCCTAAAATAGCGTATAAAAAAGGAAATGTTCTGTCGAGTAATAGATTTTTCATTCCTTATCTTCAGCATAGTGAGACTGAGACAGATAATAATTATAAGCAAAAACAGTTATCAATGGTTCTATATCAAGTATAATGCTCAAAAGATCTATATCTTAATTTTCGAATGTAATATGAAGTACAAAAAACGTTAAAACTGAAAAAAAGCAAGTGAGTTTTTTTTTTTTTTAGTTGAGAAAAAGACAACGAGTGAACTAGACTCTCTGTAAAGAAGAAAGGCCCCAAAAACATGTCCGTTCTGTGAGAGAAAGAACAAATCAGGGCAATAGATATTTCACAAAATGGACACTTTGAGGCCTTTCTCCTACTTCAACTTAAAGATTGATTTTCTTAAGTTTGTTCTGTTGTTTTGAAAATCAACTCAGAAAATTAAAGAAAACTGATTATTGTATTTCGAATCGATTGTGTCAGGTACATGTAACACAGGCAATAAATTCATTGTTTTCACAGTCACTAATTAAGAAGTAAACACATTTTGTTGAATAACTTAATTTTGTGTTACAAGATGCAGCATAACAAAGGGTCTTTATCTAAAGAATGGACAGTCATAGGTGAGTTTTACAGAATATTTTACAATTATGTGATACATCCATTCAAAGTTTGCTTTGTAGAGGAAATTTGTCTTCTTCCGATGGAGAACGTATTTTTTTAATTTAATGAAATTATAATAAACCCAAAGAGGTACCTCCTCTACCCCCCACGCATATGCATGGAATTACGAATGATATAGTTTGACCCGGAAACAGGATGTGGTAAAGGTGAAGGACAATATTTCCCCATGCACCTCTGACCTGCAAATGTATACTATAGTACTATCTGCAGCCTCTGTGATGTTGAAATGCAACCTGTTCTATATGATCGAGGTTTGGATTAATTAAATTAATTCTTTTCCAGGGGAATACGGTTAATTATTTAATTTAAAAAAAAAAGGAAATGTTTCATTTGAAGTTTTGAGGATATATAAACTGCACCGGGCAGTGTGAGTGTAAAAACTATTTAAAAGTATTGAAGAAACGTATGCCATTCATAGATTTAAAGTGCAAAATCATTTGCAAGTGTATGGTGTGTAGAGATTGTGTTTTGGAATAAAAAAAAAAAGATCTACATTTCGTTTATTTCTTTTTATTTACAAAAGGGGGGGGGGTTCTTTGAAAATCTTCTCTGCTTCTGGGCATCTAGAGGCAAACACAGTACAGAGCTGTAATAAGCAAGGGGATTATTACCGGATTTTTGCAGTTCTTGACAACTTTGTCGAGTGATTTGGTGCTGGGCATGCAGGGCTACATGTATATTAATTTTTATTCTACTGAGAGAAGTTATTCCCCTTTGCTATTCATCTATGATAATCAATCACAGTAAATAATGTTATTGAAAGGCCAATTGAATAAAAGAATTATACAAGAAAATTAATGATGACATTATATAAATTAATACAGAAAGTACTTTCTTAGTTTTTAATGGTCAACTAGACTTGTAAATAATAGATATATAAAAAGGAGACCAAAAAAAAAAAATTAAACTTATCTTTGTACATTAAATTTTCTTCAAATCCAAAAAAAGCTAATGTGACACTATTGTCTTTGTGGTGATAATGACAAACGGGGCAAGTACAAGCAAGGAAATAGATCTACTCCAAGACTTGTTAATGAGTACTGGGTTAATTCTTTGTTGATCCCTGTTCATTTTTTTTCTCTTGCTTTTAGGCAGCAGCATATTTTCATCTATCTCTTTACTTTGTTTTATTTTATACTTATATACCGGTAGATCCTTTATAGCGTTGTATTATACTCAGGTGACCGTTATGGTCCTTGGGCCTCTTGTTTAAGAGTGTGGTCACTTGCAGGTAATATAAGGGATTGTTTTAGGAAGAAGCACAATTTACCAGTAAACTACTGAATGAATATTAATACAAACAAAATGTTTACGTCATAATTTTAAATAGTATTTAATTCAATTGTTGAATCTTTTTCACATATACTTTTCGAAATTCAAATAACCTTGAACGCAGACTAAAAAAAAAAAGCATCGAGATTCCAGTTGCATGTACATACATTTACCTTACATTCAGGACTTCGTATCTTCAAAGAACTGTAGATAAAAAAAAAATTTATTTAAAAACGATGAAGTTATTTAAAAATCTTTTGAAAAAAAAAAACACAAACAAACAAACAAAACAAAACTCAAACAGAAATTGAGCGAAAACTGCAAGATGTATCGATGACTGAAAAAAAAAGTCGATCCTGCTTCTTTTGTCACTGAAGTTTTTTTTTAAATGTTAAAAACATAACTATCAGTCTGATTAGCACTAGCCCTTTTCTCCTTTCGACGTCAATAGGAGAAAGAGGGAGGGGCTAGTTTCAATCAGACTGATCATCTATGGACTTTCAACGCTTCGACGTTATTTTTTATGCTGTTTGATGATGTCACAAATTGCCCCAAGTAATGTGCGCGACGTCACATTAAAAACTTACTTATTTAGGTATTCGACCAGTTTAAAATAACTTTCAATCTTGAAATCAGGAACTAAAACATATTGCTTTGACTGAGTAGGAAAATAAATTTCCATACCATGATAGGCTTCAATTTGGGTCAGATCTCCCGGTTAAAATTACATTATAAAGTTCAGGCTAGAAAAAGTTATTTAGATATATCTGTTCTTGTTCAAATTTGATAAACTCCTATATTGTGATGTAGAATTTTTTTTTCAAACTAATAGCTATATATTGACTTATTACCATACATGCGCTTTTTTTATATAATTATCTTATAAATACAGATTTTATTGCAAAGTTACTCAGTAGCTAGAGAATTAAGCAAGTCAGGGTTTTCCGGAGAAAAAAGGTTTATTACATGGGTTTTTTCACTTATAAAATAGTGATTGAGAGTGATCTCCCGTGTAGAATTCTCTAAGCGGTGGAAACCAATAAAGCGTATTTGATATTTTTGTGATTGACATGAGGAAAACTCTGCAGTCGATTCAAATTATAAATAATCATAATAAATATATATAAAAATATACATTTTGTATTTTTAATTTAAAAATTCTTTAATAAAGCCTTTTAGAAGTAATCAATGAAGTTTTGATATTAAATTGTCAGCTTATTTTTATCTTAATAATTTTGAAAATTAAAAGTTTGTTATCTATGTCTACGTTATAAATTATGTGTCATTCTGATTGAATTGTTGAGACTAATCAAATCATTTCAGTTCTATCTCCTACATTATTTGTGTATAAATTAAGTACATCGCAGTGTCCATTAACTGTGTTGCGTAATTAGATACATACCCCAACATTCAGTGGCTTTATGGAAAATAATTAATATCGGTTATATATTTTGAAAATTTTGACATTTATGCGCACTGAAAAAAACATAAACTTTTTGTGCCTACAGGTACAAATCATACTTGTGATGTGTTTAGATATTAAACACTTCTGCTGTTATGTGTTAAGAATTAAAACACTTGTGTTTATGTGTTTAGATATGTTTAATTTCTAAGCACACAAGTGTTTGAATTCTAAACACTTTCTAAGACATGTTTAGAAATTTTACATGTTTAGGAATTAAACATATAAAAAAGGAGGTGACAACAAAGTGTTTAGAAAAGTGTTTGAATTGTAATCACATTTTTTACAGTGTAACCAGGAACCTTGCCAATGTCCCTAATATTAAGGTAAACTATTTCTGTGATGTACAATCATCAGGCTTTGACGCTTAACATACAGGTCTATGTGACCACATTTCCTGTCGACTAGTAAATAAATGTAACAAATTAACTTACAGTCATTAATTTCAATATTTTAGGGTATAAGCTGCAAACCCTACCTGTATACATGTACTTGCCTAATGTAATAATGGCGATATTACCTGGAATCTAAAACGAAAGTAGACAACACTGCGTACGGAGACTGGTAAGGAACATGAAATATATTTTTTATTTACATTTTTAACAAATAAGGTAGTAGGCTTTATAACCCCATAAAGCGATTTGCTCAGCACGTGACAGCTATAACGTCTTGCTTTCTCTCTGTGTGTTGCTTTGTAATATACTGGGCGGCAGTGCAGAGATACATATTTTTTCTTTCTAAATTGAATCAAAGATCAGGTGAAAATGTAAAAATAATATTTATGATGATGATCAATCTGTTTACTCGCGTGATAATTTAATGCGTAAACGAGCAAACTTCACTTGATCACATCATAACCCCCCCCCCCCAATATATACAGTTATTCCTTAATTTAATATATATCTATTTTACACATATCCCTTCATGGTTTGGTTTCATTGATATATTCAAACAACTTCTTTCCCAGTTAAAGTCCAGTCTGAAATTATAATTATAGGTCTACATCATCCTTTAAAAATATCACTGTAAATGCATTCCTAAATCATTTTTTCTTGAAAAGTGGTATCAAAGGAAGGAAAAGTCAAATACAAATTAGACACTTATAAATTGCTCATTTAGACAAAACTTTGGACTAGAACCTTATTTATTAATTTTGAGGAAATTTGAGAAAAGGAAGGTTTCAACTCATCTCATCATCTCTAATAATTAAATAAGGGAGACATAATGGAATACAAAGAAAAGAGAATATATGTCCCAAGTATTGCAAATTAAAAGAGGTAGAAGATGAAAAGCATTAATTTTCTATTATTTTGTCCATGCCAGGTCTATCAGGAATTGATATTCTCTCCACAATTTCACAGAGATGCCTTCTTTTTAACAATAGTAAATACTTCTGGAGATCAACATTAAAATTTTCCTTATTTAATTCACAATCTACACGTGGCATTACAACCTTTAATAGCGTTTTTACAGTATGTGGATTTTGTGAGGGGGGGGGGGGGGGAGTGTGTGTGTGTATGTTGGCATATTAACACATATTTTATGTACATGAATAAAATTTCATCCATTAATATTCCACATTTCAATAAAACAATTGATTCCAATTGGTATCAAAACTCATAATTATGATATATATTTTGGAATTCCATTAAAAAGTTTACTTTAATATGCGAATCTGATAAAACTTTTATATTTTTTCCCCTGAATATCTTCATTGTATAAATATTATAGTATTTTATCAAGATTAACAAGATTTGTTTATCTTTGTTTTCCCCTAAAATTCCCAAAATGAAACTTTGCAGCTTTAATCCTGTCTATATATTTCAATTTTTTAAAAAAAGTCTGCACATTGTCACAATTCCATAAAACTTGTATCAATTTATTGTTTCTTCCCCTTTATTGCAGAAGGAGCAGGATTTTTTATCTTCTTCACTTATACGAACCTAAAGGTACTGTAAGAACTGAGCTCACAAAATAATAAACACTGTTACAACGCAAAATGTAATAACAACGCAAAATGTAACAAACTGGGATTATTACATTTTGCGTCAAGATCAACGCAGAATGTAATAAAGCAAAATGTACACTGGGAAAAATGGCTTACATGATATTCATGTGATTATCTTTTTATTTGAAAATTATGTGAAAATCATGTAAAAATTATATAAATATTTTTTCATGCGAATATTATGTGAATAAGTTTGTATGATATTCACATATATATTTTTAGAACTTTCATGTGAAGTTTTCTCTGCAGGATTTTTATGCGATATGCTCTTCATGTAAAATTCATATATGATTTTAGGTCAAAATGGCTTAAAGTTTTCACATAAATTTGTTTTGTTTTTGGTCTCTCTCATGCAAAAAATTTACATGAAATTCATGTGAATTTCATATAAAATTTATGTAAGCCACTTTTGCCTGTGTAATAACACGATTTTTGGATTATTACATTTTGCGTTATTACATTTTGCGTTGGGATTAACGCGAAATGTATAATAATAATACACTTTTTGGTTGTTACATTTTGCGTTACTTAATTTTTGCGTTGTGGACAATGCAAAATGTAATAAAACAAAATGTAATAAAGCAAACTATTATTTTTTTTGTATTGTGTTCAACGCGTAACATCACAAAATTGATTGAAACGTATAGGCCTAACAATGGGGAAGCTCGCTTCACTAAATAGACAGACATACATGTTTCCATGACCATGAGACAACGTTTAACGTTATGGCTTTTATGGACATTACTAAATCTAATTGATTATTTTTTTTTAACGCTGTCTCTAACATTTTAATCGAATACTTTTAAAACATTAAATAAACTTTGATTGACATGTCTATTTATAAATCAGTCTGTATTATATATCCATCACACGGAAGCCGGTAGGTGCCAGGTAGAAAAATATTTTGAATGGCTAATGAAATCAATATATGATGAAATCAGATCTAATGAAAGAATTAGCATATGTTTATTTTTCCTTTTGTTTTATTTTTTCCCATTTATTTTCTTCATACACTACTCAATTGAAAATTATTCTCAACCTGACTGACTTAAAAGTGTGTTATTATATTTTGCGTTGTTGCATTTTGCTTATGTAACAACGCAAAATGTAATAATCGAAAAATCGTATTATTACATTTTGCGTTATTACATTTTGCGTTGATCTCGACGCAAAATGTAATAATCCTAAAAAGTCTGTTTTTACATTTTGCGTTATTACATTCTGCGTTGATATCGACGCAAAATGTAATAACACAAAATGCAATAATCCCGGTTTATTATATTTTGCGTTGTTATTACATTTCGCATTGTAACAACCCACGCTCCCATATATGACTATATATGGGAAACAGGGAAAGTCCTTTTTTTGGTATGGGAAAGCCCAGATGTCTGTCTGATCAAAATATAAAGTAGGAGGTGCACAATTGCACTATATAATAAAGTCTCAGTAAATTCTCTTCAGCGGTATAGGAGGAGTTGCAGATAATAGATGGGTACCCCCGATTTTATAAAAAGAATGGCAGTGTCCATATTCTGCTATGGGAAATTCGCAAGATGTGTCCGATGAAAGAGTAAAGAATAAGAAATGCACAATGGCACTATTTAATAAAGATTCTGTAAAAGTCTCATTAAATTTTATTCAGTGGTATAGGAGGAGTTGCAGATAAGAGATGGGAACCCCAATTTTATATAAAGATTGAGAGAGTCTGTGCATGTTTTGCCATCGAAAACCCAAAATAAAGTAAAATAGGAGGTCACAATGGCATTATATGTAACAAATATTCTGTGAAAGTCTCCTTAAATTTTATTCAATGGTAAAAGAGGAGTTGCGGATAAGAGATTGGTATCTTAAAGCGTACCGGACGGGCGGAAGGAAGTTTCTTTCGTGGTCCTGAAAAGAAGATGGGCATACTTGGCGTGCGATCCGCAGGAATCGTGTACGCAACATTTATGGTTTAAATGTCCAATTTGGTCGGCTGACCAGAAGTGGACAGACTTTATAAAGTTACGCACATAGGAAAATGTTTAGATTTAATTTGAAATAGCTTTTAAAATTTGAAATATTTTAGTCCACTTATCATATTAGTTACGATAACACAGTAACACTTCACAAAAATAATAAACACCTAACAAGATAATAGGGTATGATATATGAAATGAAGTTTCAATAGGTTTGAAAAATTGCTTTCGCTCCCCGTGCCACTGAACCAAAATTTATCTCTTTTAAAACTTTTATAAATCAGTAAATAAAATTAAACTGATAAACAACTTGATTGTTTGTATAAAAAAAAAATAAATAAAATGCTCCATGCGAGGATCGAACCAAAAACTTCTCGATACCTTAATTAGTGCACTGGACTGGTAACGCATACTACTGAGCTATCATTGCTACAAAAACATATTATGGAAGAAGCAACGCATTTACACATTGGAATTTATTTTTTTTTTTAAACGTTCATTTTTTCACAGTCTCTGGGTCTTCTCTCCATTTTTTACAAATGTTTGTTCGTTTCTTTGAATGCAAATGCACACAAATTTCTTTTTAAAATCGTGGAGAGATGACCCAGAGTTAGCATATGTTTAGAAAAACGTGTTTAAAAAATGTAACATTTTGTACCAAATGACTCATCTAGCCATGCTTCAAGTTTTTTTTTTTAAGGAAATGAAAACACACTTAAGAGAAAATATTTTCCTTTCCTTTTTCGAATTCATGGGAACATAATACATCAAAACAGTGTTAAAATTTAATTTGATAGTAAAGTTTTCACTTTTCAAGTGCGCCCTAAAGCCCGATTCCTGCAAACTGTCAATCAAAAGCGCCCTCGTTCTTTATGTCTTGGTCGAAATACACACCTTATACAAGCCATCATATTGTGCCAGTAGCTTGTTTCTGGGGTTACCGCTCTTTGAATGGTGGTTTTTCACCGCAGATTACGAAGTCGCCTGCGTGGCGCAGTGGTTGGAGCGTCTGCTCTAGAGTCGCGGAGTAAGGAGTTGATCCTTACGTCGCGGGTTCGAATCCCACTGTGGGACGTGGAGACCGGTCCTTCGGATGAGACCGTATAAACCGAGGTCCTGTGTCGCAGTAGGTGCTGGCACGTAAAAGATCCCTCACTGCTCAATGGCCGTAAGTGCCGAGTATAGGACAAAATTTGCAGCTCTCCACCGGCAAGTGGTGGCATCTCCATATGAGTGAAAAATTCTCGAGAGGGACGTTAAACAACAAACAAACAAACGAATTCCGGTTTTAGTGAAACGTCATGCAACATACGAGATACACATGTACATGTAACCTAGGATTTACAGGTGTTTTTAATAATAATAGAAAAAAACCCACATAATAAAACATTACTAACGTAAGTTTGAGAAATAATTTAGAATAAGAACATTTTCCTTCAATTTATTGATCCTTTATTGTTGAATAACATCTTTCTAAATCAAGGCAGCCAGGTATTGAAAATAAAGTTATATAGTTTATTGAAAAACTATAATACCTTGTGAAACAATAATACAAATACTGTAGCCATATAGCTATTCATCCGAAGTGTGCCAGATTT